TGCCTATGCACATAAATCTAGAAATCATGAATTCACACTGATATCCACAGTATCAATGCATCTTCGCAGGATTTCTTCTGTCTTTTTCACAGCAAGAACCCAGGGTTCTTTCTTGCCTTCTGTCTTTTTCACAATGAACAACAGCAACACATTTACTCAACCTTTAATAATATATCTAAATAGGTACAGAATTGCTTTGCCCATTCCACTACAATAAGTAACTCTACAAAAATTTTTAGGAATTGTTTGGCAGTTCTGCACCTGCCCTACTCCACCCTGCCACGATTGAGGGTATAAAGTCAAATGTGTTCACAAATTACTTGGGATTATTTCTGCCTGCCTGCCTGCCTGCCTCGCGGTTGGTCAGTGAGATGGGTGGTTTGTCTGTCTTCTCTTCACAGTTTGCTGTCCATGTGAAATATGAGTAGGTTTCTTTGTTCTGGTTTGCTTTAGCAAACTTAAAGGTAGTGTTTTCCCTTTCCATTCTTACTTTTTTTTTAAAAATATGTACAACATTATAAAAGCCAAAACTAAATAAAAAGGTAAGTTTAATGAGGTCTTCATCTGAGAGCCGTTCCAGTCTGTCATCCACCCTTGTAGGGAACCAATTTTAGTGTTTTCTGCTTTTTTTCCTGTTTTTCTATTTTATATAAAAATAAGCAGACTTTAAAATTTTTCAGCTAGGTGTAGTGGCTCAGCCTATAATCCAACACTTTCGGAGGCTAAGGTAGGCAGATCACCTGAGGTTGGGAGTTCGAGACCAGCCTGACCCACAAGGAGAAATCCTGTCTCTACTAAACTTCAAAATTAGCTGGGTGTGGTGGCACATGCCTGTAATCCCAGCTTACTCAGGAGACTGAGACAGGAGAATCGCATGAACCTGGGAGGTAGAGGTTGCAGTGAGCCAAAATTACACCATTGCACTCCAGCCTGGGCAACGAGTGAAACTCTGACTTAAAAAAAAAAGGGGCGGGGGTGGCCAGGCACAGTGGCTAATGTCTGTAGTCCCAGCACTTTGGGAGGCCGAGGTGGGCAAATCACAAAGTCAGGAGATCGAGACGATTCTGGCTAACATGGTGAAACCCCATCTCTCTACTGAAAGTAGAAAAAATTAGCCAAACGTGGTGGCACACACCTGTAGTCCCAGCTACTTGAGAGGTTGAGGCAGGAGAATCACTTGAACCTGGGAAGCAGAGGTTTCAGTGAGCTGAGATCACACCCCTGCACTCTAGTCTGGGTGACAACGCGAGACACTGTCTCAAAAAAAATAAAATTTAATTAAAAAAATTTTTTTTCTTCCATAAAAAGTAGCATCTATTGTGTTCTTTTGTACTGTTTCGCCTTTAAAATTGAATAATATTTCTTGGAAGTCACTTTGTATCAGTTCATATAGCTCTTTCTTAGTATATATTTTTATTTTTTATTTATTTATTTTTTATTTTTATTTTTTTTTGGCGTAACGAGACTTTACTGAAAACAGAAAACCGGCCGGGCGAATCAAGGATTACAAACAGGAATGTGGACTCGTAGCAAAACAAAACAAAAAACAAACAGAACAAAAAGGGAGAGGGGGAGCGAGATCGAGGAAAGGGGCGGAGAATTTTTCTTCTTCCCATTTCTTTAAAAAAACCAACACAAGAAAACACACACACACACAACCAACGTTTGTTCCCGAGTAGAAACATAAATAGGGCAGAATCGAACACTGTTCTTCTCTCTTCCAAAGGAAAAAAAAAGTTAAAGAAAAAGAAAGGCAGGGTTTGAGGCTGCGCCCCCTCGGAGCCCCTTCCGCGGCGCGGTGTAAGGGGCAGCCGAGACGCGCGGGTTTGTGCAACACAGGGCGGCCGCGCGAAGGACAGAGGCAGCGCGAGGGCGGGGGCGGGGGGGTCATGCGCTCGCTCCCCCTCCCCCCGAGAGCAGGGGGGGGTCCAGCTTGTCGAGTCCGGGGCGCCCCTTCCGAGTCCTGGGCACCCTCGGGGGGATCCCCGGGGGCCGCACTCTGAGTTCCTGGGTACACTCGGGGGAAGTGGGGAGTCCCCAGGGCCGCACCCTCTACAAGTCCCGGACGCCAACGACACCCCCCCGCGAGCCCGCCCCTGGGGGAAGGTGGCCGCGCATGCGCGCCGCGCGCGGACTGAGTACGGACACCTGGTGCTGGGGCAGCAGCTGGCAGCCGCTGTTGACGTGGCTGAGGACTTTCTGCTTGAGCTGCGCCACCTGCTTTCGCAGCAGGCTCGCCGTGGACGCCAGCTCCGTGTTCTGGCTCTTGAGGGTCTTCACTTTCTCCTCCAGGCGCGAGATGCGCTCCAGCTTGCGTTTGCGGCACTTGGAGGCGGCGATGAGGTTGCGCAGCCGCTTGCGCTCCGCCTTGTTGCGCTCCTGCGTGTCCATGTCGATGGGCGACAGCAGCGGGCTCTCGCCGAAGCTCGGCACGTCGGGCACCGTCTGTGGCTCGTCCTTGAGCGCAGCCAGGCGCGGCGGCCCCAATGCGCCCGGGGGCGGCGGCGGCGGGAAGGGCACGGGCTCGGCAGCTAAGGCGACAGTCGCGGCGCTGCCCGCGTAGCTGCTCAGGTTCGCTAAATGTTCTTAAAGGAAGGGTAGAATGGATATTCCCTAATCACAGGTGTTGTCTCAAGATACTTAACAGCTTCTGGGTTTTTAAAATAACTTTTATGTAATAAAAGTTTTATCTTTTATTTTATAAAACTGTGGCTACCAGTTACACTTTTGAAGTTATACCCAGGGTAGTGGTGTGCGTTGTTCTTCATGAAGAAAGGAACTGACAGTTTCTTCATAAAAATGGCAGCTGTCAGCCGGGCGCGGTGGCTCACGCCTGTAATCCCAGCATCCGCCGAGGCGGGTGGATCACGAGGTCAAGAGATTGAGACCATCCTGGTCAACGTGGTGAAACCCCATCTCTACTAAAAATACAAAAATTAGCTGGGCATGGTGGCACATGCCTGTAGTCACAGCTACTTGGGAGGCTGAGGCAGGAGAATTGCTTGAACCCAGGAGGCGGAGGTTGCGGTGAGCCGAGATCGCACCATTGCACTCCAGCCTGGGTAACCAGCGAAACTCCGTCTCAAAAAAAAATGACAGCTGTCTTTTTAAAAGTTGTTACTACCTGTAGTAGGTAATTGATTCAGGCAGAGAAGGACTTTGCAGCTTTATTTCTTCCTGTTAGCTGTGGATTAGATTCTCCACGCAGTGTTGCATATTGCCTATTACAGTTTCTGGTTCTTGATAGTACAGATGCTGTTGGCTTTAATTTAGGAATTTCTCTAGTCTTCCTTCAAATAATTCAATACTCTGAATATTTAACATGTGTTACATTTTTTATAGTTTAAGACAATTTGAGATTGTATTATTATGCTTAAAAGGGAGTTGTAAAGAGCTAAAAGATTCTTTGTAAGACTTTCCTCTCCTGCATCTGATTTAAATTGTCTTTTATAAAAGTCTTTTAAATAATTTTTTTCTTTTTGAGCTGGAGTTTTGCTCTGTAGCCCAGGCTGGAGTGCAGCGGCACGATTTCTGCTCACTGCAGCCTCCACCTCCTGAGTCCCAGTTCAAGCAATTCTCCTGCCTCAGCCTCCCGAGTAGCTGAGATTGAAGGCACATGCCAGCATGCCCAGCTACGTTTTGTATTTTTAGGAGGGACAGGGTTTCACCACGTCAGCCAGGCTGGTCTTGAACTCTTGACCTAGTGATCTGCCTGCCTCGGCCTCACAAAGTGCTGGGATAACGGGTGTGAGCCACTACGCTCTGCCTCTTTAATGAAATTTTTTAAAAATCCAAATCGAGATTGTTTTGTTTTGTTCTTTCCCCTTTTGAATTTCCCCTAAAGTACTGTGCACACATCCACACGCAGTTATTGTGTGGTACTTCTTCAGAGTTCATTTAGTTTTACTTCATGCTGATTGAATTACTGGTGTTATCCTTCGGTGGGTAAGGCTGGATGAATTCTAATCAGCTTACTTGTTTTGTCTTCATGTAGCATATAGTTTTTAAAATGTATAAATTTGCTCTTATTGTTTATGAAGTATTTATGGCTTAAAAAATTCCTTTCTTTCCCCCTTTTATGAGCAGCCCAGTGGGGGATAACATCATGTTGTCACTTCCTCTTAGCTTTTCAGGAAGGAATGCTTCCTTTCCTCTGGTGGGTTTTTTTTTTTTTCCTCTGAGATGGAGTATCACTCTGTCACCCAGGCTGAGTACAGTGGTGCAGTCTTGACTCACTGCCACCTCCATCTCCTGGACTCAAGCAGTTCTTCTTCCTCAGCCTTCCCGGGGTAGCTGGGATTCCAGACGTGTGCCACCAGGCCTGGCTAATTTTTTGGTATTTTTAGTAGAGACAGGGTTTTACCATGGTGGCCAGTCTGATCTGACCTCAAGTGATCTGCCCACCTCGGCCTCTCAAAGTGCTGGGATTACAGGCATGAGCCACCGTGCCTAGCCTTTTCTTCTGGTTTATAGCTGTGATTCAGCAATCCAATCTTTTAACCACAACCTTGGTGGTGGTATAAAAACCAATTTTTATCCATTGTTTTTATGGAAGCTATATTATCTCTCATGGAGAAATGCCCCTTCAGTTTATCACTGGAATATTTTTTTCCTTAGCTTTAATGGAATGTCACTTTTGAGATTTTTCTTGCTTATCATGCCCCAGAGCACTTAATACAAAAGAATAATATATTTAAGATTACCAGTATTGAAATATGCTAAAATGGTTCTGAATATTTAGAATGTTATTTTTACAAACTTTTTGCTTATTTTGTTATAAGTATTTTGCTTATTAATTTGTATAGCAAACATAATCCACCCTTTTTTGTGGAGACAGAATCTTGCTCTGTCACCCAGGCTGGAGTGCTGTGGTATGATCTTGGCTCACTGCAGCCTTTACCTCCTGGACTCAGGAGGTGATCCTCCCACCTTAACCTCTAGAGTAGCTTGGACCACAAGCATGTGCCACCATGCCCAACTAATTTTTCTATTTTTTGTAGAGACCGAGTTTCACCATGTTACACAGGCTGTTTCAAACTCTGGGCTCAAGCCATCTGTCTGCCTTGACCTCCCAAAGTGCTGGGATTACAGGTGAGAACCACTACGCCTAGCCACAAATTTTTTTTTTTACACAGAAAAAAAAGTTTAGGAATCTGGTTTATTTGCTGTATCTGCTTTTCTTCTCCTTCCTTCCTTCCCTCCCTCCCTCCTTCCCTCCCTCCCTTTCTCCCTTTTTTTTCTTTTGAGATGGAATTTCATACTTGTTGCCCAGGCTGGAGTACAATGGTACGATCTCTGTTCACTGCAACCTCTGCCTCCCTGGTTCAAACAGTTCTCCTGCCTCAGCCTCCTGAGTAGCTGGGATTACAGATGCCCACCACCACACCCCACTAACTTTAAAAATATCTTTATTAGAGATGGGGTTTCACAATGTTGGCCAGGCTGGATTTGAACTCCTGACCTCACGTGATCCACCTGCCTTGGCCTCCGAGAATGCTAGGATTACAATCGTGAGCCACTTTTTTGTCACCCAGGCTGAAGTGCAATGGCACAATCTTGGCTTACTGCAACCTCTGCCTTCTGGGTTTAAGCAATTCTCCTGCCTCAGCCTCTCAAGTAGCTGCCATTACAGGCACCCGCCACCATGCCTGGCCAAGTTTGTGTATTTAGTAGAGATGGTTTAACCATGTTGGTCAGGTTAGTCTCTGACTCCTGACCTCAAGTGATCCACCTGCCTCAGCCTCCCAAAACGCTGGGATTATAGTCATGAGCCACTGTGCCTGGCCCTGTATCTGCTTTTCAAACCAGAATAAAATTAACAAGATTAAAGACAAGCCTGATGATGTAATCAGAATGATGCTGTTATCATTTAGCTAGGTTGCTAAATGGTAAGGGTGATTTTTGATTTTCCATGGAAAGTTGATTGCTGTATGCTATTTTTACATGTACACACACAATCACTTTCATTGAGTGAAGTTAGTATGTGACATACCACTGTTGTGTGGTTCACATACACAATTCACTTATGAGCATGTGGAATTATTGTACTGTTGTGGAATGATGTAAAAAGCTCAGTGTTCCTTTTTCTCTTTCCCTGTTTCTTCCACTCTCTGCCATGTGTGTATATTAGCCATATACAGATATTACTTATTTTCATTTTTAGTTAGAAGGATGTGTCTCCAGTATCCTTCCTCCCTTAATAAATCTTATATTAGTCTTGTAATTGAAATAAAAGTCAAGAAAAAGTTCTTATTGGACTTCTTCCCTTTATATTGCTTATTAGTATTAAAATGGTAACACATCATCAAAAGCTTTAAATTTAATAGTGTTACTAAATCACCTTGTTCAACAGCATAACCAAATGTTCCTTTAATATGACCTTTTAATATAAGCTATTCAGTCATATACCATTATGCTTCAAGGAGTTACCTATTATCCTAGACCCATCAGTTATCCTATTTGTTTATCATATTCTTTATTAGGTAGTTAAGCTATATATTTGTTTTGTTACAAATGTATTAGACTTAAACTGAGCAGCACATCATCACATAACAATTATTATTGATAGTATTTAATACTTACAAAGCACATACTCTTTCAGGTATTCCTTACAGTGTTTTAATTTAGAACTTTGAGCTACCCTAGTATTTTGTTAGCTATGGGACTAGGTAACTAGATTATTATCTGTAGTCAATGCTTTTGGTTTTTTTTTTTTTTATGATTAATTTTTGTTTGTTTGTTTGTTTGTTTTGTTAGAGACGTGGTTTCACCATGTTGGCCAGGCTAGTCTTGAACTCCTGACCTCAGGTGATCTGCCTGCCTCGGCCTCCCAAAGTGCTGGGATTACAGGCGTGAGCCACCACACCCAGCCATCAATGCTTTTTCTTTTTTTAAATTTCTTTTTGTTTTTTAAATTTTATTGATTTTATTTTTTGTTAGAGACAGGGTCTTGCTTTGTTGCCCAGTCTGGTCTTGAACAACTGGCTCTTCAAGTGATCTTCCTGCCTAGGACTACAGGCGTGCTGCAGTTACTGGTGTGAGCCACTGCATCTAGCCTAGTCAGTGCTTTCTAAAAAGAAGTAAAATTGAGCTTTAAGGCACTTTTTCTTACAAAAAGGCTGTTACCAAAGCCTGGGCTCTGAGTATGCATGCGGTACCAAAGGTAGCTCAAATCAGGGATTCATAGCTAGCAGACACACATGTTATGTAGCTGGTCTTTGAAAAGAATAGAAGGAATAGAGAGGTAGGTTTTAATCACATAAAACTGTCCACTTTCTGTGTTGTGCCTCAGGAAAGCAGTGTGAGTCATTGCATGAGTGCATAAATTGTTTCAGATTGCTAATGCATCATCATATTATGCAAACCTGGCATATAAGAGTGATGGGTTTGTATACACAATACAGATGAGGTTTTTCTGCCTTAGTAAAGATAATATATAAAAAGCTAACCATTAGGTCACGCTAATGCTTAATGCTAATTGTGTTACTGCAGCTAGTAATGGGAGATAGCTGCTTTTTAAATGTAGATTGATGGACCGTCTTGAAATACTGTTTTTCCACTCATATTTATGTTGTACCAAAAATAAGATTAGTTTCATAAACAGAAAGTTTCTCCGTTTATGAAAGAAAATCTGTTTATGAAAGAAAGAAATGGTTTATGACCACACCATTTATTTGAACTTCAAAACATAATTTAACATCACTTTTGTAGATGATAGAGAGAATGAGGTGTTACCTTTCTGTCTTGTCAATCTTTGTAGTTCTGCATTTTCTATTGAAAGTGAAGGTTTTGTTCTTTTCCTTGATTTGATTTTGTAGGTTTACTGTCATCTGTTCTCAATTCTGAAATTCAGTGTTAAAACTGAAAATCCCCCCGATAAGTTTAAGTACATTGATAGAGCAGCACAATAACCTGGCTTGATGTGAGAGACTTTACATCTTTGTCCTGCTTAGTGTGACATTTTGCTGCAGAAACCGTGTATGTTATTACATGGTACTTTTTTAGATCCCACTGTGTCTTGGAATATGTGGTATATGTATTCTAAACAGAATTGAGAACTTTTGAGTGGTAGCATACATCTGGCTGCAGTGGTTTGCTTTAAATGACTGCATTATCTGTCATAAACTGCTGGATTCCCATTGTTGGAAGATTGTGAGGCATGAATCAGTAGTTTGAAGAATAAAGTTTTGCCAAAGAACATGTTGAACTATTATCATTAATTTTTTTTTTTTTTTTTAAGTTTTTGAGATGGGGTCTTGCTTTGTCACCCAGGTTAGTCTCAAACTCCTGGACTCAAGTGATTTTTTTGCCTCACTCTCCCAAAGTGCTGGGATTACAGGCATGAGCTACCACGCCCAACCCATGTTGAAGTAAATGTGTTGATTACTTAGTACAAGCCTAGCAAGAAGTTTACTTACCTTTTTTTTTTTTTTGGAAACGGAATCTCACTGTCTCCCAGGCTGGAGTGCAGTGGAGCAATGTCAGCTTACTGCAACCTCTGCCTCCCAGGTTCAGGTGATTCTTCTGCCTCAGCCTCTCAAGTAGCTGGGATTACAGGCATGCACCACCACGCTTGGCTAATTTTTTGTTGTTTTTAGTAGAGATGGAGTTTCACCATGTTGGCCAGGCTGGTCTCAAACTCCTGACCTCAAGTGATCCACTTGCCTTGGCTTCTCAAAGTACTGGATTACAGACATGAGCCACCATGCCCTGCCTAGGTTTACTTTCAAGAGCCATCTTTTCTTGGTTAGTCATAGTTGCTCAGAGCACTAATTGCTGATATTGTGACCTAGTCCTACAGTGATTATATTTGCTAATGGCATGGGTATGGGAATTATGGTGGGACTATACCCAGATAGCATCTGTCCTGCTGTTTCTAGGATACACATTTATGCATATAAATTATTCTTTATGATTTTGTTTATTGAGTCTTTTATAAGGATGGAAGCAGTTGATCTTTCTCTCATTTCTCTAGTCACCCACAAAAGCTGTATATAATGCCAGACATTGGAATCATCCCGATTCAGAAGAACTGCCTGGGCCACCAGGAGTAAAACCTCAGAGTGTCACAGTAAGTGAACTGTACTTACTTATTTTGTGTTTTTTAATAAGCTATACATTACGCAGTTACCCTTTTAATTCACAGTTTGTAAATCTTTGACTTCCCTATTTAACAGTTTATTTTGACTTTCTTTACTAAAACAGTAGTTTCAGTTTAATTGATTGGAAAACTGACGGTTGTCGGTAAGATAGCAGAGATTCTAGTGCTGCTAGGTTAAGAATGAAAGGCATAAAAAATAAGACTCTTGTTACTCATGACCCACATTTCATGGAATTTATAGTATTTAGTGTTTAAGAGCAAGATTGTCCATATTTGATGTTTTTATAAGAGGTATACTGTATATTGCATCTATATGTATTTCTAAGTGGCTTTCCACGCTTAATTTGATTTTCAGAGGCAAATTTCTTCCTCTATTCCAGTAATACTTTTCTTTTTTCTTGAGACGGAGTTTCGCTCTTGTTACCCAGGCTGGAGTGCAATGGCGCGATCTCGGCTCACTGCAACCTCCGCCTCCTGGGTTCAGGCAATTCTCCTCCCTCAGCCTCCTGAGTAGCTGGGACTACAGGCACGCACCACCATGCCCAGCTAATTTTTTGTATTTTTAGTAGAGATGGGGTTTCACCATGTTGACCAGGATGGTCTCAATCTCTTGACCTCTTGATCCACCCGCCTCGGCCTCCCAAAGTGCTGGTCCAGTAATACTTTTCAATCCAAAACATTAGGAAAAAGATTCTTAGCAACTTATTTTCTCCAGAATGACTGACGGTATCATACATGATTTCTAGGTTAACAGTAAAGCTTCAGTCATCTGGGGTTATCAGGTAAAGTAGTTCTTTACAACAACAAATAATTTGGGGATAGAAGTTTTTCTAATATATAATGTACAGTTTCCTGTCTTCGTAAACTGTTTAGACTCCTCTTGATAGTATAAAGAAATCATTTTGTATATTAGTAGTAATATATCATGCTCCCGTTACAGCTGTTTATTTCTGCCCTAAACTATTTCACACTCTTTTGATTTTAAAATTCTTTTGACTCTAGTTTTTCTGTCCTGTCCCTTTCTGCTTATGAAAGCTATTTTTGCATGCAGTTGTGGTTCTGTAGTCTTTCTCATGGTACTAGAGACAAATTGTGTGAAATAAAAAGTTTAAAAAAGACCAGAAAGAATTTTTGAGTGGTTCTTCTGTATGTAGACATGCATATGTCTTACCTGTTAGTGCATGGAATCCAAAATATTTCTAAAGACCTTTGAGAGGCCTCCCCATTCCCCCTTTTTAAAAAAGCTTTATTTACTTTTTCTGAAGCCAAATTTGCCAGATAGATGAGATGTTCCTATTTTTGTATATTTATTTAGAACAACTAATTTAATACCTTTATTAATAGGTGAGGCTGTCTTCAAAGGAACCAAATCAAAAAAATGATGGCGTTTTTAAGGCTCCTGCATCACCATCCAAAGTGATAAAAACTGACAATACCTACTCAGCCCTACCAAGATATAGTTACTGCATTGAAATGCACACGAGAAGACAAAGAAGTAAGCAGCCATATACAGTGTTTACTGCATGTTGATAGATTTTTGCATGTAACATTCAGCCTTTTAATATCTTCAACAAATATCAGTATACTGATACTCAGTTTTGAACCACAAACTTCTTTTGTCCTACCATCATTATTGTTCTAAAAATATTTTTGTTGCCATCTAACAAACTCTTTTATGCACTTATGTAAAGTACAGTGAGCCCACAGATTTAAATAGTTCATAGTTAAAAAGGGGGGACATTTTTTTTTCTTGGCAATTATATACTGTTGTTCAGCACGTGAAGCAATTCAATGATGTCGTAGAATTTGGTGAAAATCAAGAGTTCACTGATGACATTGAGTACTTGTTAAGTGGCTTAAAGAGCACTCAGCCTCTAAACACGCGTTGCCTTAGGTAAGATTTTTATATTTTACAATTATGTACATGCTGTATTAAATTTTTTCAACTATGTATTATCCAAAAAGCCAGACATTTTTTATTTTGTTATGATGTGTATAGTATATACAGCTAGTGATATGTTAAAATGCCTGCCCTCCCCCCTCCCTCCCTCCCTCCCTTCCTTCCTCCCTTCTTTCCTTCCTTCCTCTCTTCTTTTCCTTTCCTTTTCTCTCCTGTCCTCTCTTTTCTCGTTTCTCACACTGTCACCCCAGCTGGAGTGCAGTGGTATGGTCTCCACTTGCAGCGACCTCCACCTCCTGGGTTCAGGTGATTCTCTTGCCTCAGTCTCCCGAGTAGCCGGTTAGCTTGGATTACAGGTATGAGCCACTATGCCCAGCTACTTTTTTGTAGTTTTAGTAGAGATGAGGTTTCACTATGTTGGTCAGGCTGGTCTTGAACTCCTGACCTTGTGATCCACCTGCTCAGCCTCCCAAAGTACTGGGATTACAGGCATGAGTCACCTCGTCCGGCCAGAACTATCCATTTCTCTATAAAGAATTTGGTTCTACATGATAGAGGGAAAGCTGGGTGATCATAGCATTTTTAGCATAGCATAGGCTTCAGTTTTTAAGTGGTTAAAAAACAAGAACAACATGCTAAAGCATCTTTTTGCCTTGTATGGTGGCTCATACCTGTAATCCCAGCTTTTTGGGAGGCCAAATTGGGAGGATTGCATGTGTCCGAGAGTTCGAGACCACCTTGGGCAACATAATGTGACCCTGTGTCTCTAAAAAATAAAAAGTGAGTCATGGTGGCATGTGCCTGCAGTTTCAGCTCCTTGGGAGGCTGAGGTGGCAGGATGGCTTGACCTGGATGATAGAGTGAGGTGAGGCTCTGTCTCCAGAAAAAGGAAGAAAAAAATACCGGAAAGAAAATAAATAATTTTTAAAAAAGAATCTTTTAAGTTATTTTTACCTTTGATGTTCAAGTAATAAATTAGATTTATTTAAGCATGTTGTGGTCTGAGTGCTTACATTTACACCGAAATGCTCAAAATAAAAAGATGATCTTTTGTACTCCCTAATGAATTGATTGAATACTGTAATTTTGATTGAATTTTTGAGTCATTTGGAGTATATTCAATCAAATATAATTAATTCTAATTTTTATTAGAAGTATTATGAAAGGTAGCTCAGAGTTTAAGCTTTTAATGATAGTAGTAATGTAAAGAATGCACTAAAAACAATTATGTTATTTTTTAAAAATACAGTGTACCTAATCACATACTAGGCACCAGTATATTTTTATTAATGTGTTTTGCCTCTGGTTTTTATATTGCGATGATGTATGGGCAATGCTTTGACCCTTTTACCCCCTTCCTATTTGCTGGTTATGGTATTACACAAACAAAACTAATGTACTAGCTGTTTCCAGTTCCCCTAACCTACTGTATTTTCTTCTAGTGTTATTAGCTTGACTACTAAATGTGCCATGCCCAGTTTTCGAATGCACCTGAGAGCACATGGGATGGTAGCAATGGTCTTTAAAACCTTGGATGATTCCCAGCACCATCAGGTATTTTTAACTTTCTGAGACAGAGAAAACTACTAGTCTGTTTGGCTATAAAAAAATGTCTTCATTGGATATTCTACAAATATATCCTAATTATAGATTGAGTTCATTTTATTTGTTAAATTTGTAGTGCTTATGGTCAGAAGTTTTTGCTTAATACTTATTTTCTCATGAAAACATTTTTTCTTAATTTGTCATTTTATACTATTAAAATTTTATTTTGTTATCTTGGCTAATGTAGCATACTGACACTGAATTTTATAAGCATGATTTTCCCAATAATCAGAAAGCACTGAGAAGAATCTGTTAGTATTATTTGATACTAATGCATGGGAAAAGAACTGGTTTGGAAATGCAGCTTTAATTTTCTTAGAAACTTTTTTGTTCATTGATTCGAACATAGCCTCATTGTGATAAGGAATAAATTCTTCATTTTCCTTGCCTTTGATGTATTTGCTTAATAACAAAGTAAACATAACAAAAATAATTAGGTTTATATTTTCCAAAATTAGAAGAAAGTAACCATCATTGCTAATTATTATGATTAGTAGTATTTTGAGATGGCCTTGCAATATTTTTGTTAAAGAAACTATGTTCTAAAAATGGATTAGGTGATACAGAATTAATTTAATACTGCATCTTCTGGGCCAGGTGTCTTGGCTCATGCCTGTAATCCCAGCACTTTGGGAGGCCAAAGTGGGCGGATCACCTCAGGTCAAGAGTTTGAGATGAGCCTGGCCAACATGGTGACACGTGCCTGCAGTCCCAGCTACTCAAGAGGCGGAAGCAGGAGAATGAATCACTTGAACCTGGGAGTCAGAGGTTGCAGTGATCCAAGATCTTGCCACTGCACTCCAGCCTGGGAGACAGAGATTCTGTCTCAAAAAAAAAAAAAAAAAGTAGTTTGTTGCTGGACAAGGGGGTGTCCACTTGTAAGTCCCAGCTACTCTGGAGACGTAGATGGGAGGATTTCTTGAGCCCAGGAGTTTCAGATCCATTCTGGGAAACCTAGTGAGAGCTCATCTCTTAAAAACAAACAAAAAAGAGACTTCGTTTGCTTTATTATGCAGTTAACAGGAAACTAAGGCATTACAGTGTGTGATTTTAAGGGCAGTGGGTCCCTCATGGCCTTTTCTATGGCATCCTATTTTCCAAAAATAATTTGCTGCATAAACATTTAATCAGACATCTGGTCTGATGCTTCTATACTTCTAGGGGCTCAAAGTTTAAATCTTTAGATAGTTGTATTTTCTGTATGTTGAAATAAGTGTAAGAATAGAATATCTCAAGTGTTGGAATATCCCAAATGTAAGACCTTTTTTTATATTCACATTTATCTAAAATACTTCATCTTCAGTATTTTTAAATTGTATAAGTAGAGTGTGCTGGCCGAGTGTGGTGGCTCATGCCTGTAATCCTAACACTTTGGGAGGTCAAGGTGGGCAGATTGCCTGAGCTCAGGAGTTCAAGACCAGCCTGGGCAACATGGCGAAACCCCATCTCTACTAAAAATACAAAAAGCTAGCCAGGCATGGTGGTGCATGCCTGTAACGTTAGTTACTCAGGAGGCTGAGGCGCAAGAATTGCTGGAACCCCAGAGGTAGAGGTTACAGTGAGCCAAGATTGTGCCTCTGTGCTGCAGCCTCAGTGACAGAGTGAGACTCCTTAAAAAAAAAAAAAAATTAAAATTAAATATAGAATGTGCTAACTTAACTACCTGACTTGAGTGATTTTGGTACATTTTATTAATGATTTAAAAAATTACTTGGTTCACTCAGACTTGATTGGTTTATTTTATTTTTTCAAGCAATCCTCACAACTCAGCCACCCAAGTAACTGGGAGTACAGGCACCTGCCACCACACCTGGCTAATTTTTATATTTTATTTTATTTATTTTATTATACTTTAAGTTCTGGGGTACATGTGCAGATCTTGCAGGATTGTTACATAGGTATACACATGCCATGGTGGTTTGCTACCTCCATCTCCCCATCACCTTCATTAGGTATTTCTCCTAAAATTATCCTTCTCCGATGTTTTATTTTATTTTATTTATTTTTTGAGACGGAATCTCGCTCTGTCACCCAGGCTGTAGTGCAGTGGTGCAGTCTTGACTCACTGCAACCTCTGCCTCCTGGGTTCAAGCAATTCTCCTGCCTCAGCCTCGGGAGTGGCTGGGATTGCAGACGTGCGTCACCATACCCAGCTAATTTTTTTTGTATTTTTAGTAGAGATGAGGTTTCATTATGTTGGCCAGGCAGATCTTGAACTCCCGACCTCAAGTGGTCCACCCGCCTTGGCCTTCCAAAGTGCTGGGATTACAGGCATGAGCCACCAGATCTGGCGATTGGTTTATTTTAAAGAAATGCAAATATGTGTCATTCAGCATTCTGGGTTTACATACAGATGTAAACCCAGCTGTGTTTTGCAGGGGGGAAAAAACGTTAAGGATTTGATACAGATTTAAAATTACTCAGTTATTGAGTTTTTTGTTTTTTTTTTGAGACAGAGTCTCATTCTGTCACCAGGTGCCAGGCTGGAGTGCAGTGGTGCCATTGCGGTTCACTGCAACCTCTGCCTCCTGGGTTCAAGCAGTTCTTCTGCCTCAGCCTCCTGAGTAGCTGGAACTATAGGTGTGTGCCACCATGCCCAGCTAATTTTTGTATTTTTAGTAGAGACGGGGTTTCACCATGTTGGCCAGGATGGTCTCCATCTCTTGACCTCATGATCCATCCGCCTCACCCTCCCAAAGTGCTGGGATTACAGGTGTGAGCCACCGCACCCGGCCTTCAGTTATTGATTTTAAACTGAAATTTGACTGTCTACTATATCATAAAGAATAGGCTGTGCATTATAGGCTCATGCCTATAATCTTAGCAATTTGGGAGGCCAAGGTGGGTGAATCACTTGACTTCAGGTGTTTAGGACCAGCCTGGGCAACATAGTGAAACCCTATCTACAAAAATACAAAAAAGTCAGCTGGGTGTGGTGGCACATGCCAGTTGTCTCAGCTACTTGTGAGGCCGAGGCGGTGAAGATTGCTTGAGTCCAGAAAGTCAAGGCGACAGTGAGCTGAGATCATGCCACTGCACTTCAGCCTGGGTGACAAAGTGAAATCCTGTCTCAGAAAAAAGTGAGGTATGTCATAATAGAATTTATACCCATACACACACACAGGTCTGTAAAAATGTTCTATAAACTCTTCATTTAGCACAGAATAGCCAAAGAAATATGTAACTCAGCTTATATTCTTACAGCTTTCAGGCATTCATGTATGGAAGGTCCATTGAAAGGATAATTTTAAGCAACAGCATTTCATTTTTAAAGCATGTTTCTTGAGAATATTTTTAGAGGGACCACTGAATAAAACATTTTTAAAGTTTCCAACATGGTCAGTAATACAAGTTTTAGGCATTTTAACTTGAAAGCAAAACTCATTAACAGTCTTACTTCCTGAGATTGTCAGGAGTTGCTCACATGAACTTTTTCTTTTCCTTTTGTTGGTCTGTTGAAGAATCTGTCCCTCTGTACAGCTGCCCTCATGTATATACTGAGTAGAGATCGTTTGAACATGGATCTTGATAGAGCTAGCTTAGATCTCATGATTTGACTTTTGGAACTGGAACAAGATGCTTCGTCAGCCAAGCTACTTAATGAAAAAGACATGAACAAAATTAAAGAAAAAATCTGAAGGCTCTGTGAAACTGTACACAACAAGCATCTTGATCTAGAAAATATAACGGTAGGTTCCTTCTTCCTTCCTTCTAGGGTGAGAATTACTTTCAGAAAGTCTTTGGTTAGTTGCAATAACTGGGTGACTGTGGGCAAATTATTTAACTTCTAATCTTGGTTTACAGTTTGGCAAATTATCAGGTTTAGCTCTGAGTATTTCATTCCTTTCCTGAACTTCCTAAACTAGTTTATGTGCTTTTAGGTTTTTTGCCCAGTAAATTGCTGCACATTTTCTGTTGCATTTCACCTAGTCCTTCTCTCTTTATTATTTATTTTATTTTTTAAGAAATAAAAGGGGCCAGGTGCAGTGGCTCATGCCTACAATATCAGTGTTTTGAGAGGCCAAAGCAGGCGGATTTCTTGAACCTAGGAGTTTGGTTCTAGCCTGGGCAACATGGCAAAACCCCCATCTCTAAAGAAAATAAAAAAAAATTAGCTGGACATGGTGGTGTGCACCAATAGTCCCAGCTACTCAGGAGGCTTAGGTTGGGGGATCTCCTGAGCCCAGGGAGTTTGAGAGTACAGTAAGCCAAGGTTGTACCACCGCACTGCAGCCTGGGTGACGGAGCAAGACCATCTCAAAAAAAAAAAAAAGGTAGAACTACATTTAGGCTATTAGGAATTTGAATTCTTATTCTCCAGGGATAAAAATCTTATATAAGTTCTTATTCTTCAGGAATAAAAACTTCAGAAGATTTACGTCTGCCTTTTTCTTTTTTAATTTATAATAATAATTATTTTTTAAGACAGGGTCTTGCTATGCCACCCAGGCTGGAGTGCAGTGGTACAGTCATGGCTCACTGCAGCTTCAAGCCCCTGGCCTCAAGTGATCCTCCCACCTCAGCCCCGCAAGTAGCTAGGACTACAGGTTTATGCCACCATATCTGGCTAACTTTTGTGTTTTTGGTAGAGATGGGGTTTTCACCACGTTGCCCAGGCTGGTTTTGAACTCCTGGGCTCAAGCGAGGTCACCTCAGCCTCCAAAGTGTTGGAATTACAGGCGTGAGCCACCACTCATGACACAACTGCCATTTTCAATGAATAGGCATCTATTTATTCCAAGTACCTCAGGGTGTCTGTTTCATGGGACCTGAAGAACCCTGAAGACACCTCAAGGAAGACTCTTAGGGACCTCACCTCCCCTGAGGTGGTGTTCCTTATAATACGGTCATGGCCAGTAGCTGCTCTTATGCACATCACAACGCACCATGTGTGAGATGGCTATGCCATTTTTGCTTTATTTCACTTCTGCTTTCTTCTGGCTTTTTTTACTTATAGAATCAATAATGTTCCAGTGGTTTCTAGGCCGGTAAAAGATAATTGGCTTGTGATTTTTGGAAAAAATAAGAGTGTTTGTTACATAATAACCTGGTTTTTGGACATTTCCAACATCAAAACTATAATAAACATTTATTATTGTCTATGCAAATGTACCCCCAAAGTCCAGGGAAGCTGAGAAACTAAAGAGTGACAAATCCAGTTTTTCAGAAAGAAACATTTAGTAGGGACTTATAATCAAAAGCCGTGTCTGTGTCTTGGGATCCCCATGCTATTACCCCCACATCCAGGGTTTATATGCCATAGGGAAAGTATAATTCAGAATAGATGTGTAGGGCCACTGAAGTACATCAAGTTGTTTGACCTCAGGTTAGGATATACAATAAGTACCTGATTTTACACAAGAAACAACGAGTAAACCAGAAATTTTAGAGGTTTTCCCAGAACAGATGTTAATCAGATCTCAGGCCAGGTGATGTGGCTCACAGCTGTAATCCCAGTGCTTTGGGAGGCTGAGGTGGGCGGATCACCTGAGACCAGGAGTTCTGCCAACATGGTGAAACCCCATCTCTATTAAAAATATAAAAATTACAGCTGGACCTGGTGGCAGGTGTCTGTATTCCCAGCTACTTGGGGAGGTGAAGGCACAAGAATTGCTTGAAACTGGAACCTATGAGGCGAGGTAGAGGTTACAGTGAGCTGGGATTGGTGTGACTGCACTTCATCCTGGGTGACAGAGTAAGACTATGTCTCAAAAATAAAAAAGCCAATGTCTCCCCATTACTTAACTGAAGACTGCAGCAGCATTTGCCACAAAAATGTATAGAATGCTTTGTGCTAGCCAGATGTGACTTAAGGCTCTTGCTCTATTCTGTTTTAATTAGGTTAGAGGTGGTAATAGATTCTGGTTAAGGTGGAGGATGGGAGAGTTTAACTTTAAACAAGAAGATACAAAACGGACATGTATTCAGTACTTTTCACTTTATAAGACTGTGGAGAGAGAGGCTGCGCTCAGATGGCAAATCTGTATTCCTCCATGTCATCATACCATCTGTATACTACATTGAAAACTTTTTAACTTTTTTTCTGTTTTGAGATGAAGTCTTATTCTGTCACCCAGGCTGGAGTCCAGTGGTGTGATCTCGGCTCACTGCAGCCTCTGCCTCCTGGGTTCAAGCTATTCTCATGCCTCAGCCCCCCAGATAGCTGGGATTACAGGTGCATGCCACCATGCCCAGGTATTTTTTTTTTTTTTAAGTAGAGATGGGGCTTTGCCATGTTGGCCAAGCTGGTCTTGAACTCCTGAACTGAGGTGATCTGCCCACCTCGGTCCTATTGGGATTATAGACATGAGCCACTGCGCCTGGCCAACACATTTGTAATTTTTATTTATTTATACCATTTTTACAATGTCTACTCATTTTTTCATACTATAAAAGAATAAATTTGAGCCTATAATTTTTAACTGCCTACATAGTTGGGTGGATGTGCCTTTATTTTTTTGTCTCCGATGTTCAACATTTAGATTCATTTCCGGTATGCTGTTAAATGACATGATAAACTTGATGATTTAATTTGTCTTATGTTTTGTTGAATTTATTAGGTTGATAAATACCAGAATAAAAACTTTACTGTATTAGATAAAACAACTTTTTTATTCATATGATTAAGCCAGAGCACAGATGTCAATTTTAGGATTCCTCTTTTTTCCCCCTAACGTTAACTATTCTTGAGTATTGTTTGTTTTAAATTGTACAGTAGATTTACTGTTGTTTTGTACAATGAATATCTTCTACACATTAGTTTTGTTACTAGTTGCTTAATTTCTTGAATATATTGGTATTGCTGATGTGCCATGAAAAGATAATTTAAAACAGTAGTATAGGCATGCTTTGCTCAATGACAGATGTGTTCTGAAAATGAATCATTAGGTGATTTTGTTGTTGTACGAGCATCAGACTGTGCTTATACAAACCTAAAAGTTATGGCCTACTACACATCTAGACTGTACAGGTTTGCACCCTAAAAGCAACAGGCTGGTACAGCCTGTTGCTTTTAGGGTGCAAACCTGTACAGCATGTTACTATATTGAACACTGCAAGCAATTGGAACACAGTGGCAAAATTTGTCCACCTAAATACAAAAAAAGGTACAGTAAAAGTACGGTATAAAAGATTTAAAAAGATAAACCTATATGGACACTTACCTTGAGTAGAGCTTGCAGGACTGGAAGTTGCTCTGTGTCAGTGAGTGAGTGAGTGAGTGGTGAGTGAACGTGAAGACCTAGGACATTATTGCACACCACTGTAGACTTGATAAACACTGTACACTCTGGCTGTACTGTTTACCTCTTGACTCTTATAATAACACTTAGCTTAAAACATTGTATACTGTGCAAAAATATTCTATGAGCTTTTTTCTTCTTTCAAAATTAATTATTTTTTTAACTTTTAAAACTTTTTTTTTGTTAAAAATGAAGACACGTTAACCAAGGTTCACACAGGGCCAGGATTATCAATAGGACTGTCTTCCACCTCCACATCTTGCCTCATTGGAAGGTTTTAGGGACAGTAAAACATGAATGGAGATGTCCTCTCCTGTGATAACAATGCCTTGTCCTGGAATGCCTCCTGAAGGACCTGTCTCGGTATTTTTTGTTTTTTTCCCCCTTGAGACTCTGACTCTGTCATCCAGGCTGGAGTACAGTAATGTGATCTGGTCTCACTGCAACATTCGCCTCCCAGGCTTAAGCAATCCTGTGCCTCAGCGTCCCAAAGTGCTGGGATTACAGGTGCCCACTACCATGCCCAGCTAATTTTTGTTTTTAGTAGAGACGGGTTTCACCATGTTGGCCAGGCTGGTCTTGAACTCCTGATCTGAGGTGATCCACCTACCTCAGCCTCCCAAAGTGCTGGGATTAATGGCATAAGCTACCAACCACACTCAGCCAAGAACAACTGTTTTAAGAGAAGTAGATTAAAAATCTTTTATATCTCTCCCAAATGTGCAATACTGGTAATACCTGTTGTTTGAATTTCTAAATATCTAGTTTATGTGCAGTTTTCAAATAGGCCTGATGGACCTAATGCAAACTATCATCTTTTGAAGCGGAGAAACTGGGAGAAAAACTAGGTCTTGTCAATCTTTGCTAATTAAAGCATTTCTTTTATTATGCTGAAGTTCCTTTATTACAACAGAAACCAAATTGCTCTTTTTTGGGAGGTGGCTTTATGCTTTAAATAGAAAAACAACAACTAAAGTGAAATAAAGAGAAAGACAAACTTTACTCTGGTTGTAAATGTGGCTCTTAGCTTTTGTACTCTTCTGGTGGTGATCCTAAAGCATTATTTGAAGTTCTGTCATCATGGCCACATGATGAATATCTGAGCTGTTAAGCCTGCAGTCTTCAGTTTAAAACTAGTCAGTTTGCAGTACTAAAGTGAGCAAAGGATTTGTATGCAAAATAGGCACAATACACTGAACAATAAGGAAAGAATCAGTCTTGCAGGAAAATATGGAAAGAATAACGAAGAGGAATCTCATACTAGAAATATAGTTAACATGTGAAAAACTGGTCAAGTTTACTGTAGTTGTAAAAATGCAACCGGGAGGCCGAGGCGGGTGGATCACGAGGTCAAGAGATCAAGACCATCCTGGTCAATGTGGTGAAACCCTGTCTCTACTAAAAATACAAAAAATTAGCTAGGCATAGTGACACGTGCCTGTAATCCTAGCTACTCAGGAGGCTGAGGCAGGAGAGTTGCCTGAACCCAGGAGGCGGAGGTTGCGGTGAGCCGAGATTGCGCCATTGCATTCCAGCCTGGGTAACAAGAGCGAAACTTCGTCTCAAAAAAAAAAAAATCACTTTTAAGAGTTGATATTTCTATAAGCCTAGTACCTTGACCTGGAAGTATCAACAGTATGTTTCAATAGAGGAATGACTATACAATCCTAAGTTAATAAATCTGTTATTACTGTCCTAAGGCAGAATCAGTAACAATTTTCCTATATCCATTTCTTATTTCAGAGTGGGGCAGCACCAAAACAGGAGAGCAGGATGGTCTCATAGGCACAGCGTTAAACTGTGTGCTTCAGGTTCCAAAGTACCTACCTCAGGAGCAGAGATTTGATATCGAGTGCTGGTTAAGTTGAAATGACTTTTCAGGAAGAGTATTGTATCTAGTAAGGTGTGCAAAATGTTCACCTTAGTTTGGGTTTAAGAACCAATCCTTTATTATTGTGTTTGTTTTCATGAATTTCCTAATGAACATACTTTTTTTTTTTTGAGACGGATTCTCACCGTCACCCAGGCTGGAGTGTAGTAGCACCATCTTGGCTCACCGCAACCTCCGCCTCCTGGGTTCAGGCAATTCTCCTGCCTCAGCCTCCCGAGTAGCTGGGACTACAGGCGCGCACTACTGTGCCCAGCTAATTTTTGTATTTTTAGTAGAGACGGGGTTTCACCTTGTTGACCAGGATGGTCTCAATCTCTTGACCTCCTGATCCACCCGCCTTGGCCTAGTAAAATCTTTTATAAATAAGCTGGCTTTCAAATTATTGAGAAAGTATTAGAAATGCTGTGAAAATGTCCAGCATTGTTGTTTGCCTTTGTTGATCACGTGAGTTCATGCTTATTCCTGCAGAATACAATGAAGATTTGTTACAAGGGTTATAGAACTATACAACCCCGCCCAAGACAGAATGATCTTTGCTTGTGTAATTTTTGATAAAAAAGACGTGGAATAATTTGGTTTAATGAAAACATCTACATTCTGAGTTATTGGTAAAATACCCTTATATTTAACCTTAAGAAAATTACTTAAATAGGGTGGGCACGGTGCCTCATGCCTCTTAATTTGGGAGTGCTTCAGGAGGCCAGGGGGTGCCGATCACCTGATGGCAGAAGTTCGAGACCAGCCTAGTCAATGTGGTGAAACCCTGTCTCTACTAAAAATACAAAGAAAATTAGCCTGTGTGGTGGCGGGTACATGTAGTCCCAGCTACTTGGGAGGCTGAGGCAAGAGAATCACTTGAACCCAGGAGGTGGAGGTGGCAGTGAGCCCAGATTGCACCACTGCACTCCAGCCTGGGCAATAAAAGCAAAACTGTCTCAAACAAAAAAAGAAAAGAAAATTAAACACCTAAAATTCACAGCAATAAAAATGGTTAACAGGGATTTTACTTTAAATAATGACTATCACAGTTTTCATCATCTAGATAAAATATTAATCTTGTAAATGTAATGGAATAAATGGTTGTAAACAGACTTGTCATCTGATTTGGTATCTAAGGTTATTAACAGATATTAAGTAGCTGGGTAATTTCCAACTCAAAAAATGTAAAAAAACATTTTTTAAATGTTATTATCTTTGTCTAATTCAAAGCTTTTATAAAAGTTATTTATAAAATGAGGTAACAGGAACCAGGAAATAAGGGAAGAAAGTTAAAGATATAAAGAGGTATTTTTGATAAAGGTGAAAAAAAGCAATTTTATATAAGAAGAAATCTTGTGTGGTAAATTTTTTTTCCTAAAATAAAATGACCAAGTTGTTCAAGAAAGAGAATATTTAGGCAAGACAAAGTCTAAGCATGTTGTGAATCATATATATAAATTGATATTAAGATTAGTTAATGGAAACTTCGTGGGTTTTTTTTTTTTTTTTAGAAAACAGGGTGGTATAATTTAGTTGGATATGAGTAAGAAGAAAATCCTAATAGTCTTTCCAGAGGTGGGTCTTTTATGTTAACAAAATTACACAAATAGAAACTATAATTGGTTAAAACCAGACTTTATATAAAACATTTATTTACTTATAAGACAGAGTCTCACTCTCTCACGCTGGACTGCACTGGTGCAATCCTGGTTCACTGCAACCTTTGCCTCCTGGGTTCCAGGAATTCCATCACAACTTTGCTTAAGTTTCTCTCCTTTCCCCAGCTCCCAGACTGTGCTCTGCCTTCGGTCCGAGCCAACATACAAACCCCGTTTATGCCCCTCCTAAGAACAGGCTGACTTCTGGCTGACACATTCCCTGAGCTTGAATCTGATTTTGCCACTCTCCACTCTTCCTCCCACCTTCCTTCTAATCTTGTTTGCTCCTCCATAAAAAACACAGCCCTTTTCTGCATTTTATGAGATGCTTGCAGATCTGATGCTTGGTGATTTCCCCATTATAATACTCCTTTAGAATAAAGTCACGTCTTACCTACATCTGAATTTATTTGACAATATCTAGAAACAGCCCCAGGACAATAACAATTATTCCCTCACAGAGGACATTACAACCCGCCTCCTATTCTCAACTCTGATCATGTCTCCCTGTGTATTCCCAGCTTTCCAGCGCTCTGTTGCTTCTCTCAGTATAAAGGCCCGGTCTATGGCTGCTGCGAGCAGGCTGGGACACCTGAAGGGGAGGACCCTCAGGAAGAAAAGACTGTGCTATTCATGAACTCCTTTGACATGTCTGAATACTAATACTGCAATTTGGGGGGAAAGAAAAAATATTTTTAATAAACAAAAAAGTTATCTTTTAAAATCTAAAAAATTTAAATCATCGTTTTAAAAGCCTTACACAGGCCGGGTGCCCCTGTAATCCCAGCTACTTAAAATAAAACATTTAATTGAGGGAGGCTGAGGCAGGAGAATGGCTTGGACCCAGGAGGTGGAAATTGCATTGAGCTGAGATCACACCACTGCCCCCTAGCCTGGCAACAGACTCATCTGAAAACAAAAAAAAAAAAGCCTGACACCATTCACAGCTATCAGCCGACACACTAAGCAAGCATCTGTGAGTGGGCAGAAGGAGCCTTCGCTTTAAAGTGGTTTCTATAACTGTTTACATTAAAAGGGACAGAAGAGTGAAGAATGTGTTGTTGCCCTGACAAGGTCCCATTCTTTATTATAAAGGGCAATCTTAGTTGTCTTTGAGTTAACTTGAATTATTTCTTCTTTTGAAAATACAAACTTTTCTAGTTATTTAGCAGGAGAGGTGGTATTTTCCTGTCTTTTTTGGTGAGGGGTTCAGATGTTACATGACCCCTCATTTCTTCCTTCAGGAGAGGATGGCCTTGGTGCGCTGAAGACTAGTTATGTCATCAACGCTCACAGACCTGGTCATGCCAGTATAGAACACTTCGTCTTGTTCCATCCTTGATAAAGCCTAAGAATGTCAAATAGAAAAGAGGAACAATTTTAAAAAGGGTTCCATCCTTTTAACAATCACCACTGATGGGAAGCCACACATGCAGATCCTTTAGCTAGTTCAGCTACAGCTACTTTGGCTGAGGTTTACACGCCCCCTTCTGGCAGCTTACTTAGGCCATCTCCTTTCAGGGCTAGAATTAGATTGCTGGAGCAAAGGGGAGCTTGCTTTATTAAGTTACTTAAAAATTGGGCTCCCCAGAATGTCACTATATTGTGACAGGCTTCTAACAGTATTATCTGTTACCTGTGCACTTGTGCCTTAAAAATAATGAAAGCACAGTTTTGCAAAAAGTTAGTTTATTAATCTATTCACATTCTACCCAATCTATAAGTTATTATATACTCACAGAAAATTGTAACCGGGCAGGCATGTGCTGGATTGTATTGAAATGTCAACAAAGTCTAATGATTAAACATCAAAAGGCACTACTTTTATGCTTATGGTAGAAAATTGTATTATTTTAAAATACTTCCACGATGCCACAGAACATGCCTATTTTAAATGTTGATGCTTGTCAGCTGTGAGTAATTTTGCTGTGTACTTACCAAAAGTCACAAACCATAAATATTACTTTGTTCCATAAAAGTGATCATTTCCAGTAAAATCCCATGTACTTCCTGCAGCCAGTACTTGAGACACGCACGCCTCATACTGTCTAAGTGCATGTCTCTTGGCTTAGGCACTAATGGTTTCTCTAACACGCCCATGGGACTGACTGCACTGTGATATACACAGTAGAAAATGACAAAAATTTGCAAACCGAGTAACAAAAAGTAGTCAAGAGTGGTAAGTGCATTGTGGTATGTAGAAATCATTAGAAATACAATGGCAAGAAATCATTTCTGTATATTATTTGCAAGGGCAAAGGTTCAAAACGTTCAAATTCATTAAGAATAAATTTGATTAAAACATTCTGAATTATGGCCACAAAAGAGATAACATCTATAATTTTCCAAAAATGTGAATCCTTAGAAAAACCATAAGAGATACAGGAAATAGAATGCCAAAAGGTTAATAAGCTCTTCAGTATGTTAATTTTGAAGCTTTCCATTTTTCTAATCACTACTTCATATGACATAGTCATAAATGTTGGCACTGGTGTTTGACTCAAAACCCACTTAGTTACTTCACAGCCTTACCTGCAGATCCCATGCTCTTTTTCTGTCAAGAAGGTAAGTAGGCAAACTCAGGCCCTGCCTGACTATAAAGTCACGAAGACGGAAGTAGTATCCGGTATAAGCACTTTTAGAAACGTTAGTATCATAATCAATTAGCCTCAAGAAGTACATTTCCAGCATATTCCTGGGGAAGGAGAAACACAACAGAACAAACACAGGACCATGTTAGTTCACTGGGCTATCTTCAAAAACATTATTCTCATGTAAGAAATGTGGTAAGGCTATCGTGCTCTAGTTTATTAGAATTCATGAAATAACGCACACTGAACAGAACCCGATCCAGTGAAGTAATACAAGAAAGAGTGCAACTTTCCCAATTCTCTTTGAAAACTCAGAAAAAAACTTGTACCCGAAATGAAACATAAATGTAAAAAATGTTAATAAACTTGATTTTCCCTATGTTCCTTTTCAAAGACATATTCACATTTAACATGGAGAAAGATGACATAAACTTAAGAAACATGGTAAAGGCTTCAGCCTTTTTACTTCTCTGAAAACATGAAAGGATTCAATGGGAAATTCCTTGTAAATAGAAACATGTGGTAAGGTCTTCAGTTGTTCCAGTTCCACAAGAAGGTAAGAACTCCTTTCTGAAAAAAAACCTATGAATGTATAGAATGTAGAAATGCCTTCATTTACATGATATTTGCTCCAAGACCCATGATAATACACACTGGAGACAGACCTTATAAATATAAGAAAGAACATTGCATTGGAACCCTGGTAGATTACCAAATACAGAAAAGTTTACAGTTTTTCTTCAACATTGATGTGAAAACTTTCCCTAGAGGAAAATCCTACTCATGTTCATAAATTGAAAAGCCTGATGCAAATTCATCTTCAAAAAGATACATAAGTACATGTTACCCTACTTTTATTGTTTCTCAGTGATTCTTCATTTGAAAGGTTCTCTGTATTACTTCCACTTTTGCAAGAAAACATTGAGGTTACAATTTTGTAGATACTTTTTAAACAATACTATATGCATTAATAGCAGTTTTCATTAAGTCAGTTAACAAAACAATTCTCAGTTCTTTAAAAATATCACACTGAGCTACTAGAATGGCTCCAAATTCTGTTTTGAAACACATGGAGGTGGGTTCCTACGTGAATGTCCAAACAGGGCACAGCTGCTTGCAGTCCATTCTGAATCCAGAACCCCAAGATTGGAATGAAGAGAAAGGCGACGGCCTCCTCTGTACTTGTGCAGCTGACTCGGGATCATTCTTGAGCGTTCTATCGCACAACTCAGACTTCCCAGTCACTCCCAAGACACCACAATAGTGATCAGATGACAGAAATGATGAATGCCATTTATTAGCTGTCACTATTACGGAGCAGGAATACTCTTTACACTTCCAATGGTAGATCAGAGAGAGACATCTTGGCTAAACTAAACTCATTTTATGAGATGCCTTCTGGTAGGGTGCCAGCCTTACACACTGTTTCTCCTAAGTTAGAAATGAAACCCCAAGGTGCTCAGCATCTGTCACCCCTGGCCACAACAGAATGTGGGGTTGAGTTGAATGCACTGAGAGGGGAACAGGCTCGAAGCAGCCCTCTGCAGCATGATTATTCACCTATCCTGACCAAAGGTTGTTTTTGTTTTTCTGAGACAGGGTCACCCAGGCTAAAGTGCAGTGACATGATCCTAGCTCACAGCAGACTCAACCTCCCAGGCTCAAGTAACCCACGCACCTAAGCCTTTCAAGGCTTGGAACTACAGGCTCGTGCCACTTAACTGGGCAATTTTTAAAAATTCCTTTTGTAGAAACAAGGTCTCACTTTTTGCCCAGGCTGGTGTTAAACTCGTGATCAAGTGGATACTCCTACCTTGGCCTCACAAAGTGCTGGTATTACAGACATGAACCACTGTATCCAGCGCTTGGTCAAATGTTTAAATAAATACAAAACGACAGTAATCTTCCCACTCTCATAGTAATCCCTGTCAAGACTTAATTGTATAAAACAATACCTCAACAGCACACTTGGTTTCTTGCTTTTAAAGTTTCAATGTTTTATCCACTGGCTAAGTCAACAAATGCTTGAAGTTCTCCGGTATGGAAAGCAGTTAGGATGTAAGCAGACATGAGGTTTTCTCACTGGTTTCACTGAAAACCCAGCTGAAACTACTTCCAACATTAATTTCCTATTCAAATAACCACAAGGCTGTGATGGGAATGTCAGTCAGATATGAATAATCAGCTGACCAGGACTTAATTTACTATAGGAACATGTGCACTTCATAATCTCTTGTGTATTTCCATAAACACATTTTAACTGTGTAAAATACGGTATTTCATAGAATGATTGTGTTTACTAATAGTAGTTATTGAAGACAACAATTATCCCTACAGAATATGTATCTCCTTAGTTGTTTTTTTGTTTTTTTTTTTTTTTTTTGAGACGGAGTTTCGCTCTTGTTACCCAGGCTGGAGTGCAATGGCGTGATCTCGCCTCACCGTAACCTCTGCCTCCTGGGTTCAGGCAATTCTCCTGCCTCAGCCTCCTGAGTAGCTGGAATTATAGGCACGTGCCACCATGCCCAGCTAATTTTTTGTAATTTTAGGAGAGACGGGGTTTCACCATGTTGACCAGGATGGTCTTGATCTTTCGATCTCGTGATCCACCTGCATCAGCCTCCCAAAGTGCTGGCATTACAGGCTTGAGACAGTGCGCCCGGCCTCAATATGTAATCTTTTATCCATCACCCCCATTCCAACCTTCCCCCTCTAGTTCCCAAAGGCCACTGTATCATTTTATGACTTTGGATTCTCATGGAGAATACATATTTCGTTTTCCATTCCTGAGTTACTTCACTTGGAATAACGACCTCCAGCTCCAACCAGGTTGCTGTAAAGGCCATTATTTCATTCTGTTTTATGGCTCAGCATTATTCCATGGTATGTATATTCAACATTTTCTTTGCCGATTGATGGGCATTGATGCTGGTTCCACATTTTTACAATTGTAAACTGTGCTGCTATCAACATGCATTTGTCTTTTTCATATGACTTCTTTTCCTTTGGGTAGATACCCAGTGTGAGATCGCTGGATTGATGGCAGTACTGTTTCCACAGTGCTTGTACTAGCTTACATTCCCATCAGCAGTGTAAGTGTTCCCTTTGACCAAATCTGTACCAGCATAGATGATTTTTTGATTTTTTAATTATGGCCCATTCTTGCAGGAGTAAGGTGATATTACATTGTGGTTTTAATTTGAAATTCCCTGATAATTAGTGATGTTTCTGAAGAAAAATACATCCTAACAAGACTAACAGATGTTGAAAAGTTTGAAGAAAAACCTGATAGACACTAATTTTTAAAAGGTTCAATTTACAGTCAAAAAGAGACCTTTACAAACAATCAACAGTAGAGGGACAAGATAAATGTGCATTAAACACTTTGGTGTAATGTTTTTCAATCTCCAAAGATCATGAGCATAGCTCCTCTTCAGAGCATAGCTCCCGATGCTTCTGCGTTCACAAATGGCACTATGTAGAACTGGTCATCTTGGGGCTGGCCTCTGTCATCACTGTCTCTGGAGTGATGGACACCTGCACATTTCTCTGTGTATTCTCTGACCTTGGAACTAGAACTAGAGCCCCGCCAGATTAGCTGTAGGTCTTGAGATCAATTTAACTGCCACTATAGCGGAGCTAAGTGTTTATCATTACAAATTTTGCTCCCTTCAAGAAACCAGTTTACAAGCTGGGCACAGTGGCTCACGCCTATAATCCCAGCACTTTGGGAGGCTAAGATGGGTGAATCATCTGAGACCAGGAGTTCGAGACCAGCGTGACCCATGGAGAAACAACATGGAGAAACCCGTGAAGAAATAAATTAAATAATAGTAGCCTGTAATTGCTACATAATAAAAGTTTACTCGTTCTGTTCAGTATAAAACCTAACCCCCAGCTCTGCTTGAAATTAACTCCCTATCAAATCTACCTTATCTACTCTCCCTACTTTCTCAGCAAAGTTCCCAGGCATCTCAGGACTCCCGTTTTTCTTGCAGTCCAGCTGCAAGGTCACAGGGTAATATAACACCAAAGAATGTGCAATGTGTTTCTCAAAATGCGATTTTCAAACATAACATACATCACAAGACATGTCACAAGTTAACTGTTCTTTCTCTGGCTTCTGTAAACCTGTTAGTTGCTATGTCATCCTGGCTGTATAACAAATCAAGCCCTGTCTTTGTTAGGCTCTCAGCCTGGGGATGCAAATCCGCCGAACTGGTGGCCACTTCAATAAAATCCTCCTGTTTCACCCATTGGTTTCTCCAGGCTCCTGAATATTACGTAACACCCCATCTCTACTAAAAATAGAAAATTAGCTGGGTGTGGTGGCACATGCCTGTAATCCCAGCTACTCAGTAGGCTGAGGCAGGAGAACTTGAACCCAGAAGGCAAAGGTTTCAGTGAGCCAAGATCCCCTCATTGCACATTGTTGCCTAGGCAGCAAAAGCAAAACTTCATCTCCCTCCCTCCCTCCCTCCCTCTCTCACACACACACTCATTCACACAAAGAAACCAGTTTACAAATTGATGACAGTAGTGATTAAGAGAACTTTAGCTTCTACAACTTTCAAATGACATTCATTTTCTGTTAAATCCTTTATAAAAATGGCTACTAGCAATATCACCATGACAACTCAGTTTATGCTATTGGCAAATTCGTAACTTAGCAGCCATTTGAACAGCAACCAGCCATCACTAGTCTCTTCTTGGTTACAAGAAGCCTCATTTCAATTGTAAATATACACTGTGTTAATTTTGAATGAAAGCCTTTAAAAATTTTCTTGGGGTACATTGTAGGTGTACATATTTATGGGGTATATAAAATTATTTGATACAGGCCTATAATGTGTCATAATCATAGCAGGGTAAATATAAAATTAATTGCACTTCAAGCATGTGTCCTTTTATTCTTATTTTTTTACAAATAATTCAATTATACTCTTTTAGTTACTCTAAAATGTACAATTAAATAATTCTTGACTGTTGTCACCCTGTTGTGCTTTCAAATACTAGATATTATTTATTCTTTCCAACCAAATGTGTGCGCCTATTAACCATCACCCCTTACTCCTCTCATCCTCCATACTACTTTACCAGCAGCTGCAAACAATTCTCCTACTCTATATCTTCATGAGTTAAATTGTTTTAATTTTTAGTTCCCACAAATCAGTGAGAATAGGTGAATTTTGTCTTTTTGTGTCTGGCTTAGTTCACTTAACATTTCCATCCATGTTGTTGCAGATAACAGGATCTCATTCTCCTTTGTGGTTGAAGAGTGCTCCATTGTGTATATGAACCATTTTCTTTAGCCATTCATCTGCTGATGAATGCTCAGAATGCTTCCAAATCGTGGCTCCTGTGAATAATGCTGCAACATACATGAGAGTGCAGGTATCTCTCTGACATACTGATTTCCCTTCTTTTGGGTTTATACCCAGCAGTGAGATTCCTGGATTATATGGTGGCTCTATTTTTAGTTCTGAGGACCTCCACACTGTTCTCCATAGTGGCTGTATTTAAATTACATTCCCACTGACAGTGTACAGGCATTACCTTTGCTCTATATCCTCACCAGCATTTGTTATTGCCTTCTTTTACAATAAGAGCCATTTTAAGTATGGTGAGATGATCTCTCGTAATTTTGATTCACATTTCTCTGAACATCAAGGATATTGATGTTCAGTATCTTTTCATATACCTGTTTGACATTGGTGTGCCTTTCTTAAGGAGTTTTCAAACACGTCTCACTTTGTCAATCAGGTTGGAGTGCAGTGGCAGAACCACAGCTCACTGCAGCCTTGATCTCCCAGGCTCAGGTAATTTTCACACCTAAGTCTTCTAAACAACTGAAACTACAGGCACATGCCACCAAGCCTGCCTAAAGTGTCCCTCTTTTCAGAAATGTCTGTTCAGGTATTTTGCCCATTTTAAAAATCAGAGTTTTTTTCTATGGATTTATTTGAGCTCCTTAAGTATTCTGGTAATTAATCCCTTCTCAGATAGTTTTTAAATACCTTCCCCCATTCTGTGGGTTGTGACTTGACTTTGTTCACTGTTTCCTTTGTTGTGCAGAAGCTTTTTAACTTAATGTGACCTAATTTGCCCATTTTTCCTTTGGTTGCCTGTGTTTATAAAACATTATGCAAGAAATATTTGCCCAGTCCAATATTGTGGAGAGTTTTCCCAATGTTTTATTTTAGTTTTGTATTTGAGGTCTTAGATTTAAATCTATTTTTAGTTTTTTAAAAGACAGAGATACTGCATTGCCCAGATAGTCTTGAACTCCTGAGCTCAAGCCATTCTCCCATCTTGGTCTCCCAAAATGTGAGCCACCCTGCCCAACTTAGATTTACATCTTTAATCCATTTTGATTTGATATTTGTATAAGGTATGAAATAGAGGCCTGGTTTCATTCTTCTGCATGTGGATATCCAGTTTTCCCAGCACCCCTTACCGACAGACTGTCATTAACCCATTGCATGTGCTTGGCCCCTTCATAGAGAATGAGTTCACTGCAGATGTATGAATTGGTTTCTGGGTTTCTATTCTGTTTCACTGGGCTACCTGCCTGTTTTTAATCACACCTGGTTACTACAGGTGTAGAGGGTAACTTGAAATTAGATAATGTAATTCCCCCAGGTTTGTTTGTTTATGCTCAGGTTGACTTTGGATATCCTGTGTCTTTTTTAGTTGCCTGTATGTTTTAGGATTCATTTTTTTTTTACTTCTATTTCTGTGAAGAATGTCGTTGGTTTTTGCAGAATTGTGGAGGTTCCACATTGGTGGTCTGAGATCAGACCTGAAGGAATTCTCTAGATTAATGGACACAGACTCGCTTCTTCACTTACTTTCCCACAAATGAAGTCTGTCTCTCTGTGCTAAGCTGCCTAAAGCTGGGAGAAACGTGATACAAGTACCCCTGTGGCCATGACCTCTGGGACAGCATTAGGTCTGTCCAGATGGCACTAGGAGTTGCAGTTCTTGTGACCTAAACAGTCCTTCAGGTTTATTAAGGACCCCAGACTATTTTATCCCATGGCAGCCAGGCTTTCATCACTCAAGTTCCAACCATGGGGATGAATAATTCCCCTATGGTTGGGGCTAAATGTTTTTTTGGGTGGATTCAGCTTTGTTTTGCTTTCTGCTATGACAAGGCAGCACTGAGTTCAGGGAAAGTCCCGCAGCTGCTGTGCTCTCCCTTCCCCAAGTGTGTAGCCTCTCTCCTTGCCACAGGTTCAGAGTGGTGGCATCAACAATTCAAGACAGTCTGTTCTAAGCTGTTCAGTCACGTCATATGAACATTTAAATAATTTTCAGTTCTTATGGAGGTGCTTTTTAATTTAGTTGCTAAAGTTGTTATTCCTGTGGGGAGCACAATTGGCAGAGACTTCTATTTGTGACTGCATGCATCCTGAATCACAGTCTTATCTGGAGTAATAGGCAAATGTAAAAACAAAGAAACAAACCGAAAAACTAAAACCTCTTGCCACAGCCTGAGGATCTTCATCTTCATATGCTTCTATGTCATCAAGAGGTGTTCCTTCAGATTTTCCTAAGTGTCACCCACAAAGCCATTCTCGCTGTCTAGCAAACACTGAGAGCCTGTGCTGGAAATGCCTCCCTGGCGCACCCTACCAACCAGCTCCAAGACCCTTCCCTTACAGCAGTCATGAGGCCAGACTGAAAGAAAGACCCATGAAGCTCCTGTTTCAGTGTCATGTTGCCATCTATGAGCAACCCCATGATTTAGCAAGATTTTTTGCATTCTCACAGATAACTTGGGGCCCTCCAAATGCTGCTGTGGTTGCATTAATGCCCTGGGAACCTCCTGAGTGTGGTGAGCATTGGGTGATGCCCCAGCAATGTTTCTCAGACTGCCTGAGGGGAACACTAGAACTTCTAACTCATCAGCCCAATGATGCAATGCTCCTAATCGGGAAAGGACAGGGGCACAGGGAACTGTGGCTATTCCGTATCTCAAGGTTTCTATAAAATGGATCTTTAGAGAAAAGTGGGAGAACACCGGCAAACGCAAATACACAATGTATGGCTAAGGGTGAAGCTATACTTCACAATGCAGAGGCCCCAGACCTGTCAATGGGCAAACAATTATTTCAAAGACCAGAAGTGCGCTCCTCACAAAGAGACTAGAACTTGCAGACAGCTTGTAAAAGCCGTAAGAAAACTGACTGTACTATTATGTTTCTCACTGTACACTGGTAAGGTATTTGCCAAAAACATTCACCAGAAAAATATTTTTCCATTTATGAGATTATTACAATGGCAACTTACCAAGACCTACCAATGAATAGTGAAAAATATGAACTATTCTTCTAAAACTGGGGAGAAAGAAAGAGTGGTATTTAAGCCCATTTTTATTATCTGCATAATGTAACCTTTAAAAGTATTTCTCAAAGTGTTTAAGTTTATGGGAGCAAACAAAGTATCCAAAAATGGTTAGAAAGTTCACAAAAACCATACAAACTCACAGATCGTCAACTGTAGTTTTCTCAAAGCGCATGCATAAGTCCTCATTGCACACAGCCACATTGCTCCCAACCTTGATGACAACAAGAAAGGCTCCGAGGATAATCCTCCTCCAGGTGGTTGGACGAATGTACATAGGAGCACACTGTAGAAGTCTTCGGATGTACATCTGCAAAACAGAACACTGGCCTTTGATTTAACTCAGTTTAAGTGCTGTGATAAGAACTCTTATGAAAAAGCAGAATACTTCTGGTTTTGACCAGAAAGATGCCTTTTATTCTTATGTTCTACAGAGACTTTGTTTCATCAGGTTAAGGGGCCATATCACAATCATAGCCAAAATATTTCTGCTACCTACTCTGCCCACCGGGGTAGATTAACACATCCAAGGAACAATGAACCGAGGGCACAAGCTCTCAATCACAACATACATGAGAATTGCCTGGGGATACACCCTGGGACTCAGCTTAGACCTACAATGGCACACATTCCTGCCCATGAACCAGATGGTCTTGTTACTGCTCTTCATTCCAAGCCCTCCACATGCCGTGGATGTGAGCACACTGCATGTGCATGTGTGCACTGAAGTGTGGGGGGAGAAATCAGAAATCCCTCCTGCTGCCTTTAATAGCAATTGTTCTGTAATGAGAAACCCAAGGCAACATTTAAGCCATAATGATGATTCAACTCTCATGTGTGTATTTCCTGTCGTTAAGTTTCTCTTAAAATTCTGAGATAATTTCAGAAACCTACTTTCACTTAAAATCAGGAACATACTACCCTGTTTACAAGATCAATTTCTTTTCTTTCTTTTTTTTTTTTTTTTTTGGAAATAGAGTCCTGCTCTGTTGCCTAGGCTGAAGTACACTGGCTTAATCTCGGATCACTGCACTCTGCCTCCTGAATTCAAGCAATTCTCCTGAGTCTCCCAAGTGGCTGGGACTACAGGGGCATGCTACCATGAGTGGCTAATTTTTGTATTTTTGGGTGAGACAGAGTTTAACCTCGTTGGCCAGGCCAATTGGTCTTTACAAGACCAATTTCTAAAGATGCTTTATAAATAGGAAATATCTTACCCTACTTTTGATGGCATCAACAACATTTAGAATTTTTACATAAAACAGGGAACATATAAATTCATAAATCATTGTCTGTGAAGGATCACACATAATGTATTTTTCCATTTCGTCCTGAAAGAAGAAAGGATGCAATGTAAGTATCCATTGAAGAGAAAACCTGAAGTGCTCTTAAGACAGCAGTGTTCACATTTGTGCCCATGTACCATTTATAATGATTTTGATTGGTGAGATGTCTTTCAGTTTTCACAATATGAACAGTGGGATCTTAAAATACCATAGTAATACTCATCAACATTCACTTAAAAATCATATGAGCTAAAGGGCAGAAAATTTTTGTTCTTTTTTACTCTTTGCCCCACATAATTCTATCCAAATGTAAGCTACCCTTAGGCTTTAATGCCTTACTGATGGCATGTCATTCTCTGCAATAAACTTTGGGAAAATAAAGTTTCCTGTAACCATGAGGCTCTAAGCCTATGCTGTTAAATACAATAGTCACTAGCCACATGTGGCTATTATGTACTTGAGGAAGTGCATTTTAAAATTTTTATAACATGTAGGTTGATATAAATTTAAATTATTTTCAACTCTCTTCATAAATGTCATGCTTCTGTGTTAAAAGTATTTACATATACTCATACTGCTTGATGCTACTAATAGCTGTCTTTTAAAAGATACATTTTCTGTTATTTTCATAGTAGATTTACTCATACTAGTTCACTCACGAAACAGAGCTGAAGATCAGTTCTTATTCTAACACATTCTTTTTACAACACCTAAGAGGACTAAATGCAACACAAAATGGGGAAAATTTAAAGACAGCTTTGACATCAGCATGAAACAAATACAAGTCTATGATAAAAATACAACCTCAATAAAAGTGCCACTTACGTCCAATGGGTATATACGTTCATCAAATATTTTGAAAGATATATTTCCATCTCTATAAAATAAGAATGTGCATTACTTCAGAAACTGTTAATATCTTAGCATAATACCTGTTTAATATAACAATGCCTCCTATATGCTTTGGTGTTTACTTCACCAAAGCAAAGTTTTTACAAATTCTTCTCCTGGATCCCGCCCTGCAGAATGTTTCCTGACCTCTTCCTCAGCACATCATATCCTGCACTGTGAAGTCTTTTCCACAATAACCAGTCAGAACTGCCTATAGGTATCGACTCCCGAACAGGCAATGGCAATAAACCAAACATATTTTCTCTGTTAACCACACAATGAAACACAAGAATGTTTTACAAAGCAGTAGTCGTGGGTAATAGTCTTTAGGACTTTCATAAATGTAAACGTGATTCCGATTTCCTAGCCTCCTTTCTTTTTAGTCCTCTGTAGTATACTTTCATGATCAATTTATTTTCTGTTGTTTAGATTAAAAACTCATCTGCCCTTTTATTTTAAGAGGCTAGTCTTTGATTAACTTTAAACTTTGTAAAACTAATGCATTCTCCCTGTGTGATAAACCAGTGGTTCTCCAAATGTACTCTGTGGACCTCTGGGGATCCTGAAGACCCTTTCTGAGAAGGCCTAAGAGGTCAACACTTTTTTTTCTTTTTTTGTTTGTTTTTGTTTTTCTGAGATGGAGTTTCACTCTTGTTGCCCAGGCTGAAGTGCAATGGTGGGATCTTGGCTCACTGGGACCTCTGTCTCCCAGGTTCAGGTTACTCTCCTGCCTCAGTCTCCTGAGTAGCTGCGATTACGGTGCCTACCACCACGTTCAGCCAACTTTTGTATTTTTAGTAGAAATGGGGTTTCACCATGCTGGCAAGGCTGGTCTTGAACTCCTGACCACAGGTGATCCATCTGCTTGGCCTCTCAAAGTGCCAAGATTATAGGCCTAAACCACCGTGTCTGCTGGACACTGTTTTGATAACCATACTAATTCAACCTCAGAAAGTTGATACAAATTTTTTTTAATTAACAAAGTAATATAAAGACACTGACTACTTTTTCATAAACACCCGCCACAACTGTATAAAAGCAAAAGTGGATAAAACTGCTGGTTTCTCAGCCCAAATCAAGGCAGTGGTACCAATTACATTGATAGTAATTCTGTTCTTTATTGTCCCTTAAAATTAAAAAGCAGTCTAAAGTACTTAAGAATGTCTTTGTTGAGGTGGTAAAAATTAATGGTGTTACTAAATCTTGACATGTCTCTTCAATATTCTGAATCAGTAGAAAGCTAAGAAGCGCTTCTGCTGACTGCAGTATAGTTGTGTTTAAGAAAAATTCATAATTTAATTGTGAGCGGAACAATCACTTTTTTCACAGATCATCATTTTTATTTAAAAGTACCACTGTGCCGGTGCAATGGTTCACACCTCTAAAATCCAAACCCTTTGGGAGACCAAAGCAGGCAGATGGCTTGAGCTCCTTCAAAGTTCGAGAGAAGCCTGGAAAGCATGGTAAAACTGTCTCTACCAAAAATACACAAAAAGCCAGATGTGGTGCCACACCTCTGTGGTCCAAGCTACACAGGAGTCTGAGGTGAGAGAATTGCTTGAGCTGAGATGCCAATGTACTACAGCCAAGTGACAAAGTGAGACTCAGTCTAAAAAAAAGGACAACTACCATTATCAAAAATAAATGAACACGTGTTCCCAATGACAAATTAAGCTTTCCTGAGGACTTTGAAAATCTCACTCCTTCTACTGTAGGCTTGACAGCTTTTCAACACTTAAAGACTTTTAAAATAATATTGGTGGTTAAAAGTGATTTTTGACACAATAAAACATAAACCAATATATTCCAAATAACTAACGCATGATAGTATAAATGCAAGTATGGAGGAAAAGATCCATTTACCATGCAAGACAGATTAGTGAGAACTGATTTTAAAAAGTAGCACTTGCCAAGTTTTCACTTATTATTAAATACTCACAGTGGTCTCAAAGCTTTAACAATGCACCTTTTACCAACTACATATTTGCATGAGATTAAGTCATGTCATTGCTTCCCTTTTTTGACTACAGGCATGCACTATCATGCCCAGCTGTTTTTGTATTTTTAGTAGAGATGGGTTTCACCATAGTGGTCAGGCTGGTCTCAACCTTCTGACCTCAGATAAATCTGCCTTCCTTGTCCTCCCCAAAGTGCTGAAATTGCAGGTGCCTCCCACCACACCTGGCCATCTTATTGCTTCTTAAAGCAAATTGCAAAGAAAGACCTAGAGAATCCGGCTGTCTTCTATTAAGTGTGACATTCAGGGTTTTCAATAATATAAATACATGACATACTTTTTACTCTACTTTTTGTTGTAGAAAATCTATTTTCTCATTTAAAAATCTATGTTAACAATATTTTTCTCAAGAAGTATTTTCTGTTGTCACAACCTGGGTCATGGGTTACTACTGACATCTACTTGGTATAGGCCACCAGTGCCGCTAAACTTTCTGCAATGCACAGGGCAGTCCTTGTGACAAATCGTTATCAAGATCAAGATATTAACAGTGGTAAGGCCGTAAAATCTAAACTAAAAATAGATTTTGAAAAAAATAACAATTTTATAGTTCTATGACAGTAAATATCAATATCATCAATATAAATACATACTCTTTGAGATTCCCAATCATTTAAGAATTAAAAGTGTTAAGGACCAAAGAAAACACAAATAATTTGCTTGGATATTTTAGTAGGCCCAATACAGCTCTCGATGTCCAGAGCTGTGACCTAAAGGGCTTGATAGCTTGCAAAGTAATTAGCCAGAATAACAAGACAGTTTTTTAAAAAGCTCACCTTTCCTTGATAAGAATATATAACTCCAAGGAGATACTGTGGAAGAAAAAACATTCAATATAACAATAGATATTATCAATTGTTAGGTCTGAAGACATTTTTTTAAAAAGGGTGTGGTGAAAACTCTGCTAGCGGCCCTGAAATTAAAACCTTGTAGTTCAAAACAGAACCATAAGGGCACTTTGTTTTCATTTCTTGGGTTTTAGCAAAAATATGAGAATAAAAATGCAAGGCAATACAATACCCTGTTAGAAAACATGTTTCTGTTGATGATTATAATTTATAAATAATAACATATTTCCCTGTTATATGTTCTTCTACCCACAAAACCTTTCATCACATGCAATTTTATGTATTTATTGTGTGACCCAGTCTTGCTCTGTTGCCCAGAGCAACCTTGGCTCACCACAACCTCCACCTGCCGAGTTCAAGCAATTCTCATGCCTCAGCCTCCCAAGTAGCTGAGACTACAGATTGGTGCCATTATGCCCGGCTAATTTTTGTATTTTTAGTAGGGATGGGGTTTTGCCATGATGGTCAGGTTGATCTCAAACTCCTGGCCTCAAGTGATCTGCCTGCCTCAGCCTCCCAAAGTGCTGGGATTACAGCTTGAGCCACCACACCCTGACTCATGCAATTTATATCTATGTGTACATATGTTTAAATTTCAGCCACACAGTAGTGATTTCTTTTTTAAGATGTTAGGCCCTGCATTTTAGTTTAGTTCACTATCTCCTACCCACCCATTTTTAAAATTATTTCCCAAAAAATGCATAACATAGTGAAAGGGCTTTATAACAAAATTATTTGAAATTGCTTTTGCATAATTATTAGAAAATATATCAGTAAACATAAGCTCACATGACATCAATGATAGGTACAGCAATCCTAAAATAAGCAGTACTTACAAGGTAGTGTAGCATGATACAGTGTAATATCAATGGCAGGTATCTTCAGTTAGTTTAACTGAAATATTTATGAACACACACAACTCTTCAGATATATGTAACTGTATTCCTAAGTTACCCACTGATGCTGTGTTTCAGAAAACAAGAGGTTCTCTTACATAAGTTATGTGCTTCCATTTTCCCTCAGCATCTACGATGAGGTTCAAAATAACTGAGGGAAGGCACATCTCAATTTTAATAATAGGTCAATAAAATATCAACACTTTTTAAAAAAGCCTGTAACATTAGCACTTCAGAGGGATATGTCTATAGTGCGTTAAGTAGTTTTCATCTCTGAAAAAATTTTAAAATCACAGAATTTGAAGTTATATGCTGGAAAGAACCAATGACCTTACAAGACATTTAATCCAACACTCATTTTACAGGTCAGGGGAATAAATCTTAAAACTGACTTGCCCAAGGTCCCAACAAACAGGAGCAGTTTCTTGCCCTAAACTCAAATTAGGCAGTGGCTCTACATTTTGCTGCACATTAAAATCACCTGAGAAGCTTTAATAACTGCCTCATTTTCAATAATTAGCATTGGATATAACTTTGGCCATCAGGGTTGTTGGTAAAAGTTTCCCAGGTGATTTCAATATGCAGCAAAATTTGAAATGATTGAGTTGAGATGAAAATCAGAACCTTCTGGGATGCTTTTCTTCACATAAAGATGCTATGTTTTCCTAAAAGGCTTCTCAGTGCCTGGAGAAAGAGGGAAAGTGGAGATTGGAGGATACATGTATTTGCAGACATGTATTTTGAAGACAAACTTTGCAAAAGTGATCCCAATGAGTTCCACCTATCCCACTGATAACAGTGCACTACTAACTTGTGATGAACATTTTTCAAAATCTTTTCCTGAAGCCAATTTGCCCTATTAATTTGTTCAATAAATCTCTATTTCACCAAAAGTGAATACACCAAATGATCATTTCTCAAACTTGCTGATGGCAAATTAAAACTTAATTTACTTTTGAAAGTAGACTTCTAAAAATTAAAGAATGAGGAAAAAAGCATGAAATTTGTTTGAACAAGACTATCTTCAAAGCTACTTTGGCATGCTATGCTAACACATAAAAATCGGTTGCATTCAAAAGCAGCCAGGGACTTCAGCCAAAGTAGTTTGTTTTTATGCTCAAAGATTTAAGAGAGACAGCCGGGTGTGGTGGCTCAGGCCTGTAATCCCAGCACTTTTGGAAGCAGAGGTGGGCAGATCACCTGAGATTGACAGTTCAAGACCATCCTGACTAACAGGGAGAAAGCTCAACTCTCCAAAAAAAAAAAAAAAAAAAAAAAAAAAAAAAATCAGCTGGGTGTGGTGGTGCATGATTGTAATCTTAGCTACTCTTGGGAGGCTGAGGCAGAATTGCTTGAACCTGGGAGGTGGAGGTTGTGGTGAGTCAAGACGGTGCCATTGAACTCCAGTCTGGGCAATAAGAGGAAAACTCTGTTTAAAAAAAAAAAAAAAAAAAAAAAAGAAAAGAAAGAAAAAAGAGTGAAGAAACTTGGCTGACTACAGACATTTAGTGATTACTCAATAGGTCCCAAAGCTCAGCACCTAAGACATAATTTGATTCCAATTTGTACTGAAACACAATTTCATCTCAACTATTGTTATAAGGGAGGGAGGAAAGTGACATTATTATGAGTGTAAACCTGCCATTTTTAATTAAAGTAAAAGTTACTGAAAATTGAATTTGCTAAAAAGGCTAGTGCATTCAAAACAAAATTATTTATAAGATAGTTATATTTCTAGAATGAAAAGGAAACAAATGTAAGGACATTAATATTCTAAATTAGCACTTTGCAAACTGTGCTCTAAAAATCAACACTCATAACCAAGGAGATTAATAATAATATATCATGGACAGCCCCTGTGGTAATGGTGTTGGTGGTTGTTCCTTTTAAAAAATAAACTTCAACTAAGAGTGCTCTCAAAGTGCATCTTTGTGGCCCATGAGGTGCTCATGCACGATGGGAGAAATTCAAATGCAGATACACTGCGGTGCCAGAGGAAAAAAAGCTGTTCCTTTTTCTAAGACTAATGTCCAAAGTAGTACACATTGACTGAGGCCTGCATCGCATTTAAAAACTAATTTTTCACAAAAAAATCAATAAAGACAACCTATACTTCTCACTGCATTCAATATTCTTTTAAGGCATAAAGGCATCAAATAAATAGCAACACTTTTTCTGAAATTGCTTATTTGCTAAGAGATTTTTCCTTCCACCATGACGTAGAAGATGAAAAGAGGAATTGATACTTAATTAGAATCTGGTATCAACATATAGTTGACTCCAATTTCTTAAACTGATTGAAGAGGACAATCAAATGGCTGAAATAATTTTAATCTGTCCCTTGGCAATATAGTTGTACTCACTAGTGTAGTGTCATTTCAAAATCAGGGCAGCTGGCTGTGCTGTCTTCAAGGAAAATTGTCGAGCATGAACTGAATTTCAAAGAAAAACGATCCATATATATCTACAGAGGAAGGAAAGGATAAGGTAAACTTATCAAAGTGTGTTTCTTTTTTCTCAGTTAAAATGTCCAATGACAAAGCACTAAGATATTTCTTACACTCCATGAACTGCCTGAGTGTGATATCATGTGCACTGTATAGAAAAACCAGTGGAGGCTCTTAACTTCCAGAGGTGATATTGAGATATGGGTTAGAAAATGCTGCTCTTAATATGCTACCTGTCATCAAACCTAAAAAGGATTTTATGAATTCTCTTTATAGATAATGACAAAAGTTTAAAATACAATTTCATTGTTTTTTCTACCATGATATAAAGCAGCTAAGAATTTCTATTAATTTATTACAATAAAATGTATTGTATTAAATAATACTGGTACAAGACAAATTTATTGCAATGAATACAAGACTAATGTATTTACAAACTTACTAATCCTACATGTATTATTTCAGGCAATATGGTGACAAAACAGGTGTTTCACATTCAGAGGTTCTGTTTGCCAGGGTTACTAGGCCAGTACCAAGTGAGAAAGCCATAGGTTTCTCTAGTCCTATTTTCTTATGTGGAGGATAAAAAGATTATCACTGAAATATTCTCACACCCTGAAAACAGATAACAACTTAAAAAATTTAACTTTCATTTCATGTTTAAAGACTGCCATGCCATGACTCAAATGAAACTCTCAGAATACTTGCCATTCATTTAAAAAGTTGATTGATTTCATTCTATAAATCATCTGACCTGCACCTAGGCATTTTCCTGTTATACCCTTGCTCTCTGCCTAGAAGACTTTTTCTCTCTCCTTGTTTCAGCAAGCTTGATTCCATCTACCTTCTTGGATCTTTCTGCCAGTAACCACACACAAAAAAAGTTTTGTTTTTGTTTTTTTATATACTAATTAATTTCACCACTGGTTACAAGATACTAATTCTTGCCAAGTATTTCCCTCATAAAAAAGTATGCCTTTCCATAAGAATAAGGGAGGGCTCTTACTCTTTCTACCTCCAGCTGCTGAGCACAGAATTTTGAGTAAATCAAAAACTTCAACAAGTATTTAATAAATTAATTCAGTTATAATTTGGAAAATAAGTCTTACTAAACTTAATTACACCAAAAACACTCCTAATGGTTTACTGTTTATAGGTATTTAAGGTAGTCAACAAAAAAGAAACAAATCTAACTGCAGTCAGCATGAATAAAGAGTGTGAAATTTTATGACCTTTAACAAAAAGTGGAAGGTGTTACATAGTAGGTTAACAACAAAAATTAGAAAATAATTACACCTAGTAATTTAGTAAGTCAAAACCAAAGGCTTACCATCAAAGGTCCATCTTTCACTTCCTTGGTTAAGTCTATTCCTAAGTATTTTATTTTATTTTTGCAACTATTATAAAAAAGGCTGAGTTCTTGGTTCAATTATCAGTGTTCACGGTTAGGGTATAACAGAGTTACTGATTTGTGTATGCTAATTTTGTCTCCTGAAACCTTGCTAAATTCATTTATGAGTTTCTTGGAGCTTTCTGGAAAACTCTGGGGATTTCTAAGTATAAAATCATATCAGCAGCAAACAGTGACAGTTTGACTTCCTATTTACTGATCTGGATGCCCTTTATTTATTTCTTTCTCTTGTGTGATTGCTCTGGCAAGGTCTTTCAGTACTATGCTGAATAAAAGTGATGAGACTGGGGCATCGTTGTCTTGTTCCAGTTCTCAAAGGGAATGCTTTTAACTTTTCCCTCTTCAGAATTATGTTGGCTGTGGGATTGTCATAGATGGCTTTTATTACATACATGACCTTTGTATGCCAATTTTGCTGAGGGTTTTCATCATTAAAAAATGCTGGATTTTGTCAAATGCTTTTTCTGTGTCTATTGAGATGATCATGTGATTTTTGTTACAAATTCTGTTTATGTGGTGTATCACATTTATTGACCTGTGTTATTTCATCCCTGGATCCCTGGTATGAAACCCAGTTCATCACGGTGATCTTTTTAATATGCTGTTAAGAAGGACAAAACATTGCTCAATGAAATGATGGACACAAACAAAAGGAAAGACATCTCCTGCTCATGAATGGATAGTATGAATATTGTAAAAATAAGCATATTGCCAAAAGCAATCTACAAATTCAATGAAATTCCCATCAAAATACCATCATCCTTCTTCACAAAAGTAGAAAAATAATACTAAAAGTGATATGGGACCAAACAAGACTCCACATAGCAAAATCAAAATGAAGCAAAAACAACAAATCTGGAGGCATCAATCACATTCCCTAATTTCAAACTATATTATAAAGCTGTAGTTACCAAAACAGCATGCAACTGGTATAAACACAGGCACATACACCAATGGAACAGAAGAACCCAGAAATAAACCCAAAAATTTATAGCCAAATGATCTTCAACAAAGCCAACTCAAATATAAAGTGAAGAAAGCAAACCCTATTCAACAAATTATGCTGGGATAATTGGCAAGCCATATGCAGGAGAATGAAACTGGATCCTCAACTATCATCATACACAAAAATCAACTCAAGATGAATCAAGCACATAAATCTATGCCTGAAACCATAAAAATTCCAGAAGACAAACTTGGAAAAACCCTTCTAGACACTGGCTTAGGCAAAGACTTCATGACCAAGAACGCAAAAGCAAATGCAACAAAAACAAACAGGTAAGACTTAACTGAAGAGCTTCTGCACAGGGAAAGAAGTGATCGGCAGAGTAAACAAACAACCCACAGAGTGGGAGAAAGTCTTCACACTCATATATCTGACAAAGGGCTATTATCCAGAATCTACAAGGAACTCAAACAAATTGCAATTTACAAATTTCAATTACAGAAATACGCAACCAGCCCAAATGCCCATCAGTCAACGAGGGAATAAAAAAATGTGATATACGTGCATATATTTTATATACATATTATATATATGATGGAATACCACTCAGTTACAATAAGGAATAAATTAATGGCATTCCCAGGAACCTCGATGAAATTGGAGATTATTATTCTAAGTGAAGTAACTCAGGCATGGACAACTAAACATTGTATATTCTCATTCATACATGGGAGTTAAGCTACGAAGATGCAAAGGCATAAGAATGATACAACGGAGTCTGGAAACTCGGGAAAGTGTGGGAAAAGGGTGAGAAATAAAAGACTACAAATCAGGTTTAGTGGATACTGATCAGGTAATGGGTGCACCAAAATCTCACATATCATCACTAAAGAACTTATGTAACCAAATACCACCTGTTCCCCCCAAAACCTACTGAAATATAAAATAAATAAACTATAGCAATCTTCTCAGCAAACATAAATAAAATAAAATAAAAACTAAAGTTTACGTTTTTCTCTCTCCTTTTTGGCAGGACAAATTTTAGGCATGTCTTTTTTCCTTTTTCTGAGACAAGGTCTGACTTTGTCACCCAGGCTGAAGGGCAGTGGTGCAATGATGGTTAATGCAACCTCAAACTCCTGAGTTCAAGCAATCCTCTGCCTCAGCTGCCTGAGTAGGTAAAACTAAAGGCATATGCCACTATGCCTGGCTAATTTGTTAGTTCACCATTTTGTAGAGATGAAGTCTTGCTTTGTTGACCAGGCTAAAAATAAACATTTCTTAATTAACTTAAATATTTGTAACACTGTGAGCATTCATGAAAAGAGCTCCATCTATGTTATGAAGTAATAAGATAATATAACAGTGTACAAAGTTTGAATGAAAAAAACAAGGCCTTATCTGTAACAAGCTTATTATAGATACATCACTAAAAAATTGTCTGGGTTAATATCATTAATGATATTAATGAAATTAAACTTTGATTTATGCTTTAATATAGGTCCTAAATTTGGATTAAATATAATAGATTCATCATAAACTTATTTCCTCTCCCTCTAGACATCTCTTTTGTCACAAAATAAAGGTGAAACACAGTGCCAGGAGAGAAAGTTGAAAAGAGACAATTTTTAATAAATGCTGAGACATAAAAAGTAGATAAAAAAAAGTGGTAAATAACAGAGAAGCACAACTATGATGCCTAAAGAAAGTGGAGGCCGGGAAAAGAGGTTCACACCTATAATCCTACCACTTTGGGAGGCCATGGAATTCAAGAACAGCCAGGCCTACATGGTGAAGCCCCATCTCTACTAAAAATACAAAAATCAGTTGGCTGTGATGGTAGTTGCCTGCAATACCAGCTACTCAGGAGGCTGAGCAGAGAATTGCTTGAACCAAAAAGGCGAAGATTGCAGTGAGCTGAGATGTCACCACTGCACTCCAGCCTAGGTGACAAACCAAGACTCTGTCTCAAAAAAAAAAGAGAAAGTGACTGCAACAGAAGCGAGCAGTTTGTCTTGTAGAACTAAAGGTGGGCTGTGAACTTAGAGGCAAATAGCACTTTAAAAAGTAGTGCAAAATGTAAAACAAAGCCACCAAGGTCAGTTGAAAATCTGTGGTTAGAGACTCACATCCACTTGTTCTCCCATCTGATAAGAAACTTAGATGTGTGTTCCCTGGCTATACCAAACCTGAGAATTTCTGGGTCCCAACTACCAAAGATTAAACCTGAGATATAAAGAAAACTATACACCAAAAATGGAACTCCAACTTGCTTCCCTAACTCTGCTTTTGGAAAGCAAGTAGTCAGGCAGAAACTTAAAAGAACATTCTCAAGAAACTAAACTGTCTTGAATAAAGATCCCCAGGTAATACACTGAGGTCTCCCAAATGAAAAGCTAGTTGCTTCCACAACCTCACACTGAGTGCCATCAGTTAACAGAAGTCCTGCTTCCAAATCCAAGCAAGGAAGCCAGGGACCACCACACATTGGAGTAAAGCCTCCAACAAGAGAGACTAAAACAACACACAAAATTCATGGGACCAGTCAAAATCGGGAGCAAAACTTTTTAAAAAATGTTAAAACTCTCCAAAAATATACATATAAAAAATTGAAGGGAAAAAATTGGAAACAAAAGCAGGTCTACTGGTCTAAGCAGTGTAGCGCCTCAGTAACATGACTACCAGAAAAAAGGAACAGAGAAAATAAAAAACATTCTCAAAAAGAGACTCTGCAGACTTAGTAGCCTCAGTAAAATGAAAAGATCCCCTGCCACGCTGTTATTATAAAATTTCAGAATCTCAGAGATAGAAAAGCTCCAAAAAAGCTTCCCAAAACACATAAAAACGTGGTTATAAATAACGTGTCACGCAATGGCAGTAGATTCAAGAAAAAAAGGTGATGAGAGCAAAATTGCAGAATATCTTCAGAACCATAAAATTTAGATTCAACCTAGAAGTTTACTCTCTATCAAGGAAGAAGAATTTTAAGACTGGTCAGATCTCTAAACATCTCTGCCCAGGAACGTGTGCTTAAGTACAACTAGAGAGGATAACAAGACAGAAAAAAAACACAGAATCTAGGACTCACGTGATCCCACACAAGAAGGCAGTTATGTGAGATTCCCAAAAGACTTTAAAAAGATAGCACAGATAGACTAAAACATCAAGTATATCTAGGTAAAACCACTCTATACTAAACAAGGATGACAAAAGGCCAAAGAAAGGTTGCCCACCACCCGCCAAAAACAAAGAGGAACAGATATGTTTTAGCAGATGGAAAATATCTTTGAAAGGCATGTGATAAATGCTACCACACTTGAGTGTGTGTGGAAGGGAATCAGCTGTTAGAAAACAGGCAAATGAATATAGTCAGAAAATCAGCTTCATGCTAAAAAATAATGGATGCAAAATGTAAATTATATGTAAAATATAATTTAACAATTATTATTTTTCAGTAAAGTGACAGACCATCCAGAGGCTACGTATTGCATTTGGCTGTATAAACCAGCATAGGTCAGGAAAAAAAGATGATCCAGAAGAAGTGCAGAAGTGCTCAGATTTCAGAACTGTTTCAGAGAAAGGATGAAGGAATATGTAATGAAGAGACACAGTGAAAACAACATATAACTCAGCAGTGAATATTTGGATAGTCATAATCATGTCAATATTACTGATTGAATTAAAAAGTGTGCTACAATTGAAAGAAACAGAGGGAGAAAAATAAGGTCATGTTTAGCAAGGAAGATAAGCTTTCACCTGCTGTGACAGAGGGTCAATACACCATACTGACAATTAACTTAGCTCTTTTTGTTGTTTCATTAAAAATAAGACTAAATATTTAAAGCAGATCTTTATACCACAACCAAGTATTGAAATTTAACTTAAGTGTCAGAAATCCTTAAAAGGTGGGCACACTAAGCTGAAGACTTTTTGGGATAAATTTGATAGGAAAGTAGAAGAGATTCAGAAAAATCCATGAAACGAGGTCCACTCTATCACCACTGGTCCCCATTATAATAAAAAGTAATCAAAACAGACATACTTTTACATCAAACTATCAATTCCTCAACTTTTTGACTGTTTACTTACATGGTTTCTATGGCTGTTTTCTCCTATTTCTTGTGCTAAGAATAAAAGAAAAAAAGGTCACTTCTGCCACAAATAATATAAAATAAAAGTAGTTGTGAAAGTCTTACTACTCCTATGTATAATCAGAGAAAATTCCATTAAAAAATTAATTTCAACAATTTATAATTTAAATTTTCTGGCATGATAAATCTCATAAGTAAAATACAAAAACTCAGATTTGTTTTTTGACCTGGTTTACTTTCTGTTTTGTTATATACGAGTGAAATAATGCTCATGTAAAAAAAGGCACAAAAATTAGGCCAGATAAAAAATTTAGCTAACTAAAAAATTTAATTGTTGCATATATGAGCCATGATCCGTTAGTATTCTCCCATTCTGGATTTACATATAGCTTAATTACCAGAATCTAAGAGCTAAAAGCTCTAAGAACTACTTGCTGGCCAGGCACCTATCTCTAGATGCATCAGAATCCCTGTAAGCCTCTCCAACCACAATTAGTGGTCATCTATAATATGTCGCTACAAAAAAACAAACAAACAAAAACAGGGTCTTTACACAACTGAAAAGTAACCAATCTTAAATTTAATCTTTTGTTTGTTCTTTTTTTTTTTTTTTGATATAAAGAAGTCTCCCTCTGTCACCCAGGCTAGAGTAAAATGGTATGACCTTGGCTTACTGAAACCTCTGCCTTCAGGGTTCAAACGATTCTCCTGCCTCAGCCTCGGAGTAACTGGGATTAGAGGCGCACAATACCATGCCCAGCTAGTTTTTGTTTCAGTAGAAACAAGGTTTCAGCATTTTTGTCAGGCTGGTATCAAACTCCTGACCACATGATCCATCCACCTCCACCTGCCAAAGTGCTGGGATTACAGGTATGAGCCACCACACGCGGCCAAATTTAAATGTTAAAAAAAGTAAAGAAATTTGGATATGGTGTCTGCAGCAAAAAAAAAAAAAAAAAAAAAAAAAAGAATAGTAAGAGCTTCAAGAGGGATTTGGGCCTTGCTTTGTTTCTTATACTGCCTCTACCTTTAATGCTGGAAAGGCCTTGTAGACAAACATTCCCATCACTGAAGTGTGAGAGACATGGAATAGCTTTTTTTTCTGCTTTCATGCTCTCCAAGTGTGATAAGCCCATGTCTCTGAAAGTAAGTGGAAAATAAACCTCTGATATGGTTTGGATATGTCTCCCTCTCCAAATCTCATGTTAAAATGGGACCCTTAATGCTGAGGACAAGGCATAATGAGAAGTGTTTGGATAACAGTGGAGCATTCCTAATAAATGGCTTAGTGCCATTCCCATGGTAAAAAGCAAATTCTCATTTTGGTATTAAACCAACATGAGTTTTTCTTTTTGCTTATTTAAACAAAATGTTTTATTGAGAGAGACAGAGAGACAGAGTGAGAGAGAAACAGAGAAGAGAGAAAGCTTCCACGAGAGAGTGTGTGGAAGTAAGACGCCAGAGGGAAAATCCAGGAAGGAGAAAAGACCTCCGACTATGTCGGATAACATGAGTCTTTCTAAAAAGTTTTTATAATACATCTGATCAAACAAGATTTTTCACTCTTTGTCTTGGCAGAAAAAACAATGTTGTCTCACTACCTGTTTGGGATTTCCTTGTTTCAGAAGGGTTGGACTCCAAAGCCCTATCTGTAAAGAAAAAAAAGAAAAAATACATAATAACTTACAGTAATTTATCACCTCATTTATTAAAAAAGGAAGCCATCTTACTACCTCTACTTTTATTCTTATCCATTGGGAAAAGGGACATAAAATTAAAATTAAAGATGAATCCAAGACTCCTCCACTACATGAAAAATTGTGTTGATAAAAAGATGGAAAAATCAATCAACAAAAAGTTGACATGTTTTCACTAACGTGATAACAAGCAAAGTATATCACATGTTAAGAAAACACAAGTGAATATGTAAAAATATTAAAAATTTAAACAAATATGAGTTTTCCTAAACACTTTCTATTATACACCTCTTCAAACAAGAGTTCTCACTAATTTTGCTGGTGAAAAAAAAAAACGTTGTCTCACCATCTGCTGGATATTTCCTTCCTTCTGGATGATAAGAAGGGTCAGACTCCAAAGCCCTATCTATACAGCAAGAAAAGAAAAAATATGTAATCTCTTATAAAAATTTATCAACTCATTTATTCGACAAAGAAGCCATTTCTACCACTACTTTTATTCTTATCCATTGGGAAATGGACGAAGAATTAAACATAAAGATAAATCTAAGACTCCTCCACTACATGACAAATTGAATTAATAAAAAGATAAGAAAATGCATGAACAAAAAGTTGACATGTTGTCACTAACATGAAAACAAGCAAAGAATATCACATGTTAACATAACACGAGTGAATACGTGAATATTTTAAAAATTTAAACCAATATGAGTTCTGCTAAACTCTTTCTATGATACACCTCATAAAACAAGAGTTTTCACTCTTTTTCCTGGTGGAAAAAAACACTGTTGGCTCACCAACTACTTGAAATTTCTTGGTTTCTGGATGATCAGAACGGTCGGACTCCAAAACCCTATCTATACAGAGAGAAAAGAAACAAGATGTGATCATTATAACAAATAATCAACTCATTTACTGAACAAGAAAAACATCTCACTACCTCTACTTTTATCCATTGGAAAAAGAAACAAAGAATTAAACATAAAGATAAATCTAAGACTCCTCCATTACATGACAAAGTGTGTTGATATAAAGATGGGAAAATGTATAAACAAAAAGTGGACATATTTTCACTACAATAATAACAACTAAAGAAAAGTATATCATGTTAACATAACAGAAGTGAGTATGTAAAAATTTAAAAAATTTACAACAACATAAGTTCTGCTAAACACCTTCTATTATACACCTCATCAAACAAGAGTTTCCACTCTTCTTCTTGGTAGAAAAAAACAATGTTGTCTCACCATCTGCTGGAGATTTCTTTCCTTCTGGATCATCAGAAGGGTAGGACTCCAAACCTCTATCTACATGTACGGAGAGAAAGGAAAAAGTATGTAATCACTTATAAAAATTTATCAACTCACGTATTCAACAAGGAAGTCATTTCTACACCTACTTTTATTCTTATCCATTGGGAAAAAAGACAAAGAATTATACATAAAGATAAATCGAAGACTCCACTACATGACAAATTGTGTTGATAAAAAGATGGGAAAATCTATGAACAATAAGTTGACATGGTTTCACGAACATAACAAGTAAGATACATCACGTTAAAATAAGACAAGTGAATATGTGAAAATTTTATAAATTTAAACCAATATGAGTTCTGCCTTCTTTTATACACCTCTTCAAACAAGAGTTTTCACTCTTCTTGGTAAAAAAAAACAATGTTGTCTCACCATCTGCTGGAGATTTCTTTCCTTCTGGATCATCAGAAGGGTCGGACTCCAAAGCTCTATCTACACATACACAGAGAGAAAGGAAAAAGTATGTAATCACTTATAACAATTTATCAACTCACTTATTCAACAAGGAAGCCATTTCTACATCTATTTTTATTCTTATCCATTGGTAAAAAGGGACAAAGAATTAAACATAAAGATAAATGTAAGACTCCTCCACTACATGACAAATTGTGTTGATAAAAAGATGGGAAAATCTATGAACCATAAGTTGACATGGTTTCACTAACATAACAAGTAAAGTATATCACGTTAAAATAACACAAGTGATTATGTGAAAAATTTTAAAAATTTAAACCAATATAAGTTCTCCTAAACATCTTCTATTATACACCTCATCAAACAAGAGTTTTCACTCTTCTTCTTGGTAGAAAAAAACAATGTTGTCTCACCATCTGCTGGAGATGTCTTTCCTTCTGGATCATCAGAAGGGTCGGACTCCAAAGCTCTATCTATACATGTACGAAGAGAAAGGAAAAAGTATGTAATCACTTTTAACAATTTATCAACTCACTTATTGGACAAGGAAGCCATTTCTACACCTACTTTTATTCTTATCCATTGGGAAAAAAAACAAAGAATTAAACATAAAGATAAATCTAAGACTCCTCCACTATATGACAAATTGTGTTGATAAAAAGATGGGAAAATCTATGAACGATAAGTGTACATGGCTTCACTAACATAACAAGTAAAGTATATCATGTTAAATAACACACGTGAATACGTGAAAAAATTTAGAAATTTTAACCAATATGAGTTCTGCTAAACACCTTCTATTATACACGTCATCAAACAAGAGTTTTCACTCTTCTTCTTGGTAGAAAAAAACAATGTTGTCTCACCATCTGCTGGATATTTCTTTACTTCTGGATCATCAGAAGGGTAGGACTCCAAAGCTCTATCTACATGTACAGAGAGAAAGGAAAAAGTATGTAATCACTTATAAAAATTTATCAACTCACGTATTCAACAAGGAAGTCATTTCTACACCTACTTTTATTCTTATCCATTGGGAAAAAAGACAAAGAATTATACATAAAGATAAATCGAAGACTCCACTACATGACAAATTGTGTTGATAAAAAGATGGGAAAATCTATGGACAATAAGTTGACATGGTTTCACGAACATAACAAGTAAGATATATCACGTTAAAATAAGACAAGTGAATATGTGAAAATTTTATAAATTTAAACCAATATGAGTTCTGCTAAACACCTTCTTTTATACACCTCTTCAAACAAGAGTTTTCACTCTTCTTGGTAAAAAAAAACAATGTTGTCTCACCATCTGCTGGAGATTTCTTTCCTTCTGGATCATCAGAAGGGTCGGACTCCACAGCTCTATCTATACATACACAGAGAGAAAGGAAAAAGTATGTAATCACTTATAACAATTTATCAACTCACGTATTCGACAAGGAAGCCATTTCTACACCTACTTTTATTCTTATCCATTGGTAAAAAGGGACAAAGAATTAAACATAAAGATAAATCTAAGACTTCTCCACTATATGACAAATTGTGTTGATAAAAAGATGGGAAAACCTATGAACGATAAGTGTACATAACTTCACTAACAAAACAAGTAAAGTATATCACGTTAAAATAACACAAGTGAATATGTGAAAATTTTAAAAATTTAAACCAATATGACTTCTGCTAAACACCTTCTATTATACACCTCATCAAACAAGAGTTTTCACTCTTCTTGGTAGAAAACAACAATGTTGTCTCACCATCTGCTGGAGATTTCTTTCCTTCTGGATCATCAGAAGGGTCGGACTCCAAAGGTCTATCTATACATGTACGGAGAGAAAGGAAAAAGTATGTAATCACTTATAACAATTTATCAACTAACTCATTTGACAAGGAAGCCATTTCTACACCTACTTTAATTCTTATCCATTTGGAAAAGGGACAAAGAATTAAACATAAAGATAAATCTAAGACTCCTCCACTACATGACAAATTGTATTGATAAATAGATGGGAAAATCTATGAACAATAAGCTGACATGGTTTCACTAACATAACAAGTAAGGTATATCACGTTAAAATAACACAAGTGAATATGTGAAAATTTTAAAAATTTAAACCAATATGACTTCTGCTAAACACCTTCTATTATACACCTCATCAAACAAGAGTTTTCACTCTTCTTCTTGGTAGAAAACAACAATGTTGTCTCACCATCTGCCGGATATTTCTTTATTTCTGGATCTTCAGAAGGGCCGGAATCCAAAGCTGTATCTGTACATGAACAGAGAGAAAAGAAAAAGTATGTAATCACTTGTAACAATTTATCAACTAACTCATTTGACAAGGAAGCCATTTCTACACCTACTTTAATTCTTATCCATTTGGAAAAGGGACAAAGAATTAAACATAAAGATATATCTAAGACTCCTCCACTACATGACAAATTGTATTCATAAATAGATGGGAAAATCTATGAACAATAAGTTGACATGGTTTCACTAACATAACAAGTAAGGTATATCACATTAAAATAACACAAGTGAACATGTGAAAATTTTAAAAATTTAAACCAATATGACTTCTGCTAAACACCTTCTATTATACACCTCATCAAACAAGAGTTTTCACTCTTCTTCTTGGTAAAAAACAACAATGTTGTCTCACCATCTGCTGGATATTTCTTTCCTTCTGGATGATCAGAAGGGTCAGATTCCAAAGCTCTATCTATACATACACAGAGAGAAAGGAAAAAGTATGTAATCACTTATAACAATTTATCAACTCACTTATTCGACAAGGAAGCCATTTCTACAACTAGTTTTATTCTCATCCATTTGGAAAAAGGACAAAGAATTAAACATAAAGATAAATCTAAGACTCCTCCACTATATGACAAATTGTGTTGATAAAAAGATGGGAAAATCTATGAACGATAGGTGTACATGGCTTCACTAACATAACAAGTAAAGTATATCACGTTAAAATAACACAAGTGAATATGTGAAAATTTTATAAATTTAAACCAATATGAGTTCTGCTAAACACCTTCTTTTATACACCTCTTCAAACAAGAGTTTTCACTCTTCTTGGTAAAAAAAAACAATGTTGTCTCACCATCTGCTGGAGATTTCTTTCCTTCTGGATCATCAGAAGGGTCGGACTCCACAGCTCTATCTATACATACACAGAGAGAAAGGAAAAAGTATGTAATCACTTATAACAATTTATCAACTCACTTATTCGACAAGGAAGCCATTTCTACATCTATTTTTATTCTTATCCATTGGTAAAAAGGGACAAAGGATTAAACATAAAGATAAATGTAAGACTCCTCCACTACATGACAAATTGTGTTGATAAAAAGATGGGAAAATCTATGAACCATAAGTTGACATGGTTTCACTAACATAACAAAGTATATCACGTTAAAATAACACAAGTGATTATGTGAAAAATTTTAAAAATTTAAACCAATATAAGTTCTCCTAAACACCTTCTATTATACACGTCATCAAACAAGAGTTTTCACTCTTCTTCTTGGTAGAAAAAAACAATGTTGTCTCACCATCTGCCGGATATTTCTTTATTTCTGGATCTTCAGAAGGGTCGGAATCCAAAGCTCTATCTATACATGTACAGAGAGAAAAGAAAAAGTATGTAATCACTTGTACCAATTTATCAACTCACTCATTTGACAAGGAAGCCATTTCTACACCTACTTTCACTCTTATCCATTTGGAAAAGGGACAAAGAATTAAACATAAAGATAAATCTAAGACTCCTCCACTACATGACAAATTGCGTTAATAAATAGATGGGAAAATATATGAACAATAAGCTGACATGGTTTCACTAACATAACAAGTAAGGTATATCACGTTAAAATAACACAAGTGAATATGTAAAAATTTTAAAAATTTAAACCAATATGAGTTCTGCTAAACACCTTCTATTATACACCTCATCAAACAAGAGTTTCCACTCTTCTTCTTGGTAGAAAAAAACAATGTTGTCTCACCATCTGCTGGATATTTCTTTATTTCTGGATCTTCAGAAGGGTCGGAATCCAAAGCTCTATCTGTACATGTACGGAGAGAAAGGAAATAGTATGTAATCACTTATAACAATTTATCAACTCACTCATTAGACAAGGAAGCCATTTCTACAACTACTTTAACTCTTATCCATTTGGAAAAGGGACAAAGAATTAAACATAAAGATAAATCTAAGACTCCTCCACTACATGACAAATTGTGTTGATAAATAGATGGGAAAATCTATGAACAATAAGCTGACATGGTTTCACTAACATAACAAGGTATATCATGTTAAAATAACACAAGTGAATGTGTAAAAATTTTAAAAATTTAAACCAATATGATTTCTGCTAAACACCTTCTATTATACACCTCTTCAAACAAGAGTTTTCACTCTTCTTCTTGGTAGGAAACAACAATGTTGTCTCACCATCTGCTGGATATTTCTTTCCTTCTGGATGATCAGAAGGGTCAGATTCCAAAGCTCCATCTATACATACACAGAGAGATAGGAAAAAGTATGTAATGACTTATAACAATTTATCAACTCACTTATTGGACAAGGAAGCCATTTCTACACCTACTTTTATTCTTATCCATTGGGAAAAAAGACAAAGAATTAAACAAAGATAAATCTAAGACTCCTCCACTATATGACAAATTGTGTTGATAAAAAGATGGGAAAATCTATGAATAAGTTGACATGGTTTCACTAACATAACAAGTAAAGTATATCACGTTAAAATAACACAAGTGATAATGTGAAAAATTTTAAAAATTTAAACCAATATGAGTTCTCCTAAACACCTTCTATTATACACCTCATCAAACAAGAGTTTTCACTCTTCTTGGTAGAAAACAACAATGTTGTCTCACCATCTGCTGGAGATGTCTTTCCTTCTGGATCATCAGAAGGGTCGGACTCCAAAGGTCTATCTATACATGTACGGAGAGAAAGGAAAAAGTATGTAATCACTTATAACAATTTATCAACTAACTCATTTGACAAGGAAGCCATTTCTACACCTATTTTAATTCTTATCCATTTGGAAAAGGGACAAAGAATTAAACATAAAGATAAATCTAAGACTCCTCCACTACATGACAAATTGTATTGATAAATAGATGGGAAAATCTATGAACAATAAGCTGACATGGTTTCACTAACATAACAAGTAAGGTATATCACGTTAAAATAACACAAGTGAATATGTAAAAATTTTAAAAATTTAAACCAATATGACTTCTGCTAAACACCTTCTATTATACACCTCATCAAACAAGAGTTTCACTCTTCTTCTTGGTAAAAAACAACAATGTTGTCTCACCATCTGCTGGATATTTCTTTCCTTCTGGATGATCAGAAGGGTCAGATTCCAAAGCTCTATCTATACATACACAGAGAGAAAGGAAAAAGTGTGTAATCACTTATAACAATTTATCAACTCACGTATTCGACAAGGAAGCCATTTCTACACCTACTTTTATTCTTATCCATTGGTAAAAAGGGACAAAGAATTAAACATAAAGATAAATCTAAGACTCCTCCACTATATGACAAATTGTGTTGATAAAAAGATGGGAAAACCTATGAACGATAAGTGTACATAACTTCACTAACAAAACAAGTAAAGTATATCACGTTAAAATAACACAAGTGAATATGTGAAAATTTTAAAAATTTAAACCAATATGACTTCTGCTAAACACCTTCTATTATACACCTCATCAAACAAGAGTTTTCACTCTTCTTGGTAGAAAACAACAATGTTGTCTCACCATCTGCTGGAGATTTCTTTCCTTCTGGATCATCAGAAGGGTCGGACTCCAAAGGTCTATCTATACATGTACGGAGAGAAAGGAAAAAGTATGTAATCACTTATAACAATTTATCAACTAACTCATTTGACAAGGAAGCCATTTCTACACCTACTTTAATTCTTATCCATTTGGAAAAGGGACAAAGAATTAAACATAAAGATAAATCTAAGACTCCTCCACTACATGACAAATTGTATTGATAAATAGATGGGAAAATCTATGAACAATAAGCTGACATGGTTTCACTAACATAACAAGTAAGGTATATCACGTTAAAATAACACAAGTGAATATGTGAAAATTTTAAAAATTTAAACCAATATGACTTCTGCTAAACACCTTCTATTATACACCTCATCAAACAAGAGTTTTCACTCTTCTTCTTGGTAGAAAACAACAATGTTGTCTCACCATCTGCCGGATATTTCTTTATTTCTGGATCTTCAGAAGGGCCGGAATCCAAAGCTGTATCTGTACATGAACAGAGAGAAAAGAAAAAGTATGTAATCACTTGTAACAATTTATCAACTAACTCATTTGACAAGGAAGCCATTTCTACACCTACTTTAATTCTTATCCATTTGGAAAAGGGACAAAGAATTAAACATAAAGATATATCTAAGACTCCTCCACTACATGACAAATTGTATTCATAAATAGATGGGAAAATCTATGAACAATAAGTTGACATGGTTTCACTAACATAACAAGTAAGGTATATCACATTAAAATAACACAAGTGAACATGTGAAAATTTTAAAAATTTAAACCAATATGACTTCTGCTAAACACCTTCTATTATACACCTCATCAAACAAGAGTTTTCACTCTTCTTCTTGGTAAAAAACAACAATGTTGTCTCACCATCTGCTGGATATTTCTTTCCTTCTGGATGATCAGAAGGGTCAGATTCCAAAGCTCTATCTATACATACACAGAGAGAAAGGAAAAAGTATGTAATCACTTATAACAATTTATCAACTCACTTATTCGACAAGGAAGCCATTTCTACAACTAGTTTTATTCTCATCCATTTGGAAAAAGGACAAAGAATTAAACATAAAGATAAATCTAAGACTCCTCCACTATATGACAAATTGTGTTGATAAAAAGATGGGAAAATCTATGAACGATAGGTGTACATGGCTTCACTAACATAACAAGTAAAGTATATCACGTTAAAATAACACAAGTGAATATGTGAAAATTTTATAAATTTAAACCAATATGAGTTCTGCTAAACACCTTCTTTTATACACCTCTTCAAACAAGAGTTTTCACTCTTCTTGGTAAAAAAAAACAATGTTGTCTCACCATCTGCTGGAGATTTCTTTCCTTCTGGATCATCAGAAGGGTCGGACTCCACAGCTCTATCTATACATACACAGAGAGAAAGGAAAAAGTATGTAATCACTTATAACAATTTATCAACTCACTTATTCGACAAGGAAGCCATTTCTACATCTATTTTTATTCTTATCCATTGGTAAAAAGGGACAAAGGATTAAACATAAAGATAAATGTAAGACTCCTCCACTACATGACAAATTGTGTTGATAAAAAGATGGGAAAATCTATGAACCATAAGTTGACATGGTTTCACTAACATAACAAAGTATATCACGTTAAAATAACACAAGTGATTATGTGAAAAATTTTAAAAATTTAAACCAATATAAGTTCTCCTAAACACCTTCTATTATACACGTCATCAAACAAGAGTTTTCACTCTTCTTCTTGGTAGAAAAAAACAATGTTGTCTCACCATCTGCCGGATATTTCTTTATTTCTGGATCTTCAGAAGGGTCGGAATCCAAAGCTCTATCTATACATGTACAGAGAGAAAAGAAAAAGTATGTAATCACTTGTACCAATTTATCAACTCACTCATTTGACAAGGAAGCCATTTCTACACCTACTTTCACTCTTATCCATTTGGAAAAGGGACAAAGAATTAAACATAAAGATAAATCTAAGACTCCTCCACTACATGACAAATTGCGTTAATAAATAGATGGGAAAATATATGAACAATAAGCTGACATGGTTTCACTAACATAACAAGTAAGGTATATCACGTTAAAATAACACAAGTGAATATGTAAAAATTTTAAAAATTTAAACCAATATGAGTTCTGCTAAACACCTTCTATTATACACCTCATCAAACAAGAGTTTCCACTCTTCTTCTTGGTAGAAAAAAACAATGTTGTCTCACCATCTGCTGGATATTTCTTTATTTCTGGATCTTCAGAAGGGTCGGAATCCAAAGCTCTATCTGTACATGTACGGAGAGAAAGGAAATAGTATGTAATCACTTATAACAATTTATCAACTCACTCATTAGACAAGGAAGCCATTTCTACAACTACTTTAACTCTTATCCATTTGGAAAAGGGACAAAGAATTAAACATAAAGATAAATCTAAGACTCCTCCACTACATGACAAATTGTATTGATAAATAGATGGGAAAATCTATGAACAATAAGCTGACATGGTTTCACTAACATAACAAGTAAGGTATATCACGTTAAAATAACACAAGTGAATATGTAAAAATTTTAAAAATTTAAACCAATATGACTTCTGCTAAACACCTTCTATTATACACCTCATCAAACAAGAGTTTCACTCTTCTTCTTGGTAAAAAACAACAATGTTGTCTCACCATCTGCTGGATATTTCTTTCCTTCTGGATGATCAGAAGGGTCAGATTCCAAAGCTCTATCTATACATACACAGAGAGAAAGGAAAAAGTATGTAATCACTTATAACAATTTATCAACTCACGTATTCGACAAGGAAGCCATTTCTACACCTACTTTTATTCTTATCCATTGGTAAAAAGGGACAAAGAATTAAACATAAAGATAAATCTAAGACTCCTCCACTATATGACAAATTGTGTTGATAAAAAGATGGGAAAATCTATGAACGATAAGTGTACATGGCTTCACTAACATAACAAGTAAAGTATATCATGTTAAATAACACAAGTGAATACGTGAAAAAATTTAGAAATTTTAACCAATATGAGTTCTGCTAAACACCTTCTTTTATACACCTCATCAAACAAGAGTTTCCACTCTTCTTCTTGGTAGAAAAAAACAATGTTGTCTCACCATCTGCTGGATATTTCTTTACTTCTGGATCATCAGAAGGGTCGGACTCCAAAGCTCTATCTACATGTACGGAGAGAAAGGAAAAAGTATGTAATCACTTATAAAAATTTATCAACTCACGTATTCAACAAGGAAGTCATTTCTACACCTACTTTTATTCTTATCCATTGGGAAAAAAGACAAAGAATTATACATAAAGATAAATCGAAGACTCCACTACATGACAAATTGTGTTGATAAAAAGATGGGAAAATCTATGAACAATAAGTTGACATCGTTTCACGAACATAACAAGTAAGATATAACACGTTAAAATAAGACAAGTGAATATGTGAAAATTTTATAAATTTAAACCAATATGAGTTCCGCTAAACACCTTCTATTATACATCTCATCAGACAAGAGTTTCCACTCTTCTTCTTGGTAGAAAAAAACAATGTTGTCTCACCATCTGCTGGATATTTCTTTATTTCTGGATCTTCAGAAGGGTCGGAATCCAAAGCTCTATCTATACATGTACGGAGAGAAAGGAAAAAGTATGTAATCACTTATAACAATTTATCAACTCACTCATTTGACAAGGAAGCCATTTCTACACCTACATTTATTCTTATCCATTGGGAAAAAAGACAAAGAATTAAACATAAAGATAAATCTAAGACTCCTCCACTACATGACAAATTGTGTTGATAAATAGATGGGAAAATCTATGAAAAATAAGCTGACATGGTTTCACTAACATAACAAGGTATATCATGTTAAAATAACAAAAGTGAATATGTGAAAATTTTAAACCAATATGACTTCTGCTAAACACCTTCTATTATACAACTCTTCAAACAAGAGTTTTCACTCTTCTTCTTGGTAGAAAACAACAATGTCTCACCATCTGCTGGATATTTCTTTTCTTCTGGATGATCAGAAGGGTCAGATTCCAAAGCTCTATCTATACATAGAGAGAAAGGAAAAAGTATGTAATCACTTATAACAATTTATCAACTCACTTATTCGACAAGGAAGCCATTTCTACACCTACTTTTATTCTTATCCATTGGGAAAAGGGACAAAGAATTAAACATAAAGATAAATGTAAGACTCCTCAACTACATTACAAAGTGTGTTGATAAAGATGGGAAAATCAATGAAGAAAAAGTTGACATGTTTTCAGTAACATAATAACAAGCAAAGTATATCACATGTTAACATAACACAAGTGAATACGTAAAAATTTTAAAAATTTAAACCAATATGAGTTCTGCTAAACTCTTTCTACTATACACCTCATCAAACAAGCGTTTTCAGTCTTTTTCTTGGTGGAGAAAAACACTGTTGGCTCACCAACTGCTTCAGATTTCTTTGTTTCTGGACGATCGGAAGGTTCGGACTCCAATGCCCTATCTATACAGAGAGAAAAGAAAAAAGATAGGATCAGTATAACAACTTATCAACTCATTTATTCGACAAGGAGGCCACTTTCATACTTCTACTTTTATTCTTATCCATTGAAATGAATGTATAGAAATAAGATGAGGCCAGACAAGGTGGCGCATGCCTGTACTCCCGGCTACCCAGGAGGATGAGGTAAGAAAATCCCTTGAACCCACGTCTGGAATTTAGGCCAGCATGAGTGACATAGTGAGACTCTTTTTTATTTAAAAAAAAGAAAGAGGTAAATGTTCCCTTTAAATTGTGTAAAATCAACTTTGCATAAAATAAATCAAGATGGCAATACATTTTAAAAGTGAGGCCTATTTTATAGACAAAGTATAAGATATATTCTGGAGTTTAAAAGTTTTTTAAAAAGTAAATTCAGCATATTTGTCACTTCCACAACATTCTGAAGACACAGAATATTAGCTCTGTTGAGCAGCTGTCTTCCATAGTCATGTGAGATCTCTGTCTTCATTTCTTCATTAGGAATACATAGGGAGAACATACACAAGCCTTCTTTGTATTGGAAGGGGCCAAAAGAGACATACATAAACTGTATTGTAATCCTAAAGAATAGCAATAAAGAGCCTTTTTTGTTCTCTAATCCAGCACCACCCATCTATAAACTGTTGTGTAAAATCACTCACAGGCTTTCCTTACACCAGCAACCAGAGTATAAGTTTACACAAGTACTTACACATTTTGTGTATAAAGGTATAATCAATTCACATATTTGTTTATTCAAAATTCTTAAACATCTTGAAAAGTGAGTATAGTACTCCAAGTTACAATGTCACATTCATCATGAATGTTAATTATTCTACCTCTGGAAAAAACTAAGAGCCCAACCAATGTTGGTTTTTTTGTTTTGTTTTTTTTTTTTTTACTTTAAGTTCTGAGATACATGTGCAGAACGTGTAGCCTTGTTAGATATGTATACATGTGCCCTGGTGGTTTGCTGCACCTATAAACACATCTTCAAGGTTTTTAAACCCCACATGCATTAGGTATTTGTCCTAATGTTCTCCGTCCCCTTACACCCCACCCAGCAACGAACCCCCCAGTGTGTGATGTTCCCTTCCCTGTGGCCATGTGTTCTCAACTAACACTTATGATAGAGAATATGTGGGGTTTAGTTTTTGTTCCTGTGTGAGTTTGCTGAGAACGATGGCTTCCAGCTTCTTATGCTTTATGTTCTTATCTTTGAACAAGATGCTATTGTCAGGTGGGGGAATGACAAATGGGGAGCCATGGCAGCAAACACTCTTCCACAGTTTTAACCTTCAATCTTTGTTACATGTTAAGTCTACATTGACGTTTCATGTCTTTTGAAAGTTTTGACCACGAACCATCCGTACCTCTCTTTTAGAACAAGGAGGCAAATAAAGTCTGTTAAGTCACCAGAATAAATCTAAAGACACATTTTGTCAAAGTAAGAATTTTAAACTCATCAGAGCCTCACAGGAAAACTCCTTTGGAGGAAAAAAAACACCCATTTTTCTGCAGCCCTGGCCATGACATTTCATACCTTTCACAATTATTTAAGCACCCTCCCATTTTCTTTCCTTTTGCATTCAAATTACAGTTAGAAAAAAATAAGCACCTATCAAGGTAAGAGATCGAGACCATCCTGGTCAAGATGGTGAAACCCCATCTCTATGAAAAATACAAAAAATTAGCCGGGCGTGGTGGTGCGTGCCTGTAATCCCAGCTACTCAGGAGGCTGAGGCGGGAGAATTGCCTGAACCCAGGAGGCGAAGGTTGTGGTGAGCCAAGATTGCACCATTGCACTCCAGCCTGGGTAACAAAAGTGAAACTCCAACTCAAAAATAAAATTAAAGAATATCCTATCATCTCTCCCATGGCAACCTCATTCTGATTTCAAAAAAGAAATCCCCAAATATTTCAGCATGAATTGTCCTGAGATTTAGCTACTTTAAAGAAGGAAATAATTAGGCACTTACCTGGTTCCTTCACTTAGGTACCATCTGGATAGGTACAAAAAAGAATGAGATGGCTCCTGGAAAGTTGGTGTATTTGAGTTTTTATTGAAAAAAGGAAGAGATATTCTAATAAAAGCCTCAAAAAAATCTCACAGAATAATAAACAGAGCTACAGACAAGAAGAGACATAAATAAATGGTCCCAGGCCAGCCTGAGAGAATGAGATGAGGGAGCAAGAACTGGGTGTTTGGGAGGGGAGGACAAAAGAAATTGACTGGACTCCGTGGAGAAAGACTAAGTGGTTGAAAAAGGAACACAAGGCAGAGCCAGCCTGTGTTTCTGACCAGCCCTGGAACAGCTGGCTACAGGCAAAAAGGAGCCTGGGGTAGGAAATGGCCCCCAGGGGACCTTGAAAACAGCAGCCAGAGGGGTGGCCAGGGCATATGGCACCATCACCTCCTTACCTTCAGGCATCTCCCCATCACTGATGTCACGCACAGGAAGGCCGTCACCAGCTTCAACAGTCAACTCGGCAGGTTCTATGGCAGCAGCCGTGGGCGCTGCTGCTGTGGCATCCTCAGCTGCTGCTTCACAGATTTTAGAATCTGGAGAACACCCTGACACCTCATCATCGTCCGAAACGGGGCACACACAGCAGCACAGTTTGTTCCCCATAAGGCACCTCTACTGTCTGCCGCCACCTGTGCCTCCACTCAGTGTTGGCCAGGCACTCCTGCTGCCCTAGGCCGAGGCTGTGCCACACTTTCAGAGATGGCCTTGCCCGCTGCTCACCTGCCCACACCACGCCCCGGCTGGGGCCGGGCCCAAGGCCCGCACCCCGCTGCCTCTCCTAAGTTGACTTGTCTGGGAGGGTAACAAACAGCTGGCTAATTTAATAGGTTGGGAACCCAACAAGCGCCAAGTGATACAACTGCTGGAAGAGAGTTCAAAAGGAGCTCCTCCTCCTTCTGCAGTCACCTACAGACTGAAGCCCACTGGCCCCAGTGCCCTACCCCACACCTCACAATGCCCCACCCTGGCTGTCACCCCTCTCCCACTGCCCAGGCTGCCCCACCCTGTGGCTTATGATGCCACTGCTCTCCTGGCCCCTCCTTCAGTGCCAGTGGAACTAAGTTTTTCATTCATCACCCACCAGCTTCCTGAGCTTTTTAGTCCTAAAAACAGGGTGGTTCATTACTGGAAGACATCTTCCTCTAGGAGTTCTATACAAAGTGGCAGTTAGCAGAGTGGGTCCCATTGGCAACTAAGTTGAACTTTTATTTGTTAACTCAATATAGATACACCTGAAATATTCCTCTCCTGTCTTCCAATGAGTGGTAGTTTTTGTCTGCAACTTGTCCACAGCCATCCCTGGGGCCCTAGCTCTACTCTCACTAAAGACTTATGGCTGTGTGTCTTGAATGACACCTTATAATCCATCCTGCCTCCACCTCCTTCTCCAGAAAATAGAAACCTAACTTGTCCCCCCAAGCTCTAAAGTACTGAAACTTACCAACTTCCCTTTCTCCCCTGTTTCTTCCTTCCATGGCAGGGACTTTTAGATTTTCTCTCTTTTACTAACAAAGCACTAAGCATGACTTTGTTATACAAAATCGAGAGCCATAAGCTGGGTTACCACAGTGCTAACTCAATAAAAATGAATACTGAACACCTAGCAAGCAGTATGTGCCTGACAGTGTTCCAAGTGGGCTATGCTCATTTAGCCCTCAGAAACAATCTCACCAGTTTAGAGAAGACTCTAAGATGGAGAAGGTAAGTTATCCCCAAGGTCATATGACTGCCCAGGCTGGGGCCATTATTTGATCTCAGGTAGTATGAATTCCCCAATTCCTCAAGCATGATTATCAGGAAGTGCAGTATTCCATTTTCACACTGCTATAAAGAAATACTTGAGGTTGGGTAATTTATAAAAGAAAGAAGTTTAATTGACTCACATTCCACATGGCTGTGGAGGACTAAGGAAACTTACAATCCTAGCAGAAGGGGAAGCAGTTACTTCTTACAAGGCGGCAGGCCAAAGAGTGTGAGCATGTGGAGGAACTGTCAAACACATATAAAACCATCAGATCTCATGAGAACTCACTATCACAAGAACAGCATGTGGGAAACTGCCCCCATGATCCAATTAACTCCCACAGAGTCCCTCCCTCAACATGTGGGAGTTTTGGAGATTACAATTCAAGATGAGATTTGGGTGAGGATATGACCAAACTATCAGAAAGTACAGGTAGAAGTCAAGCTTGGAAGGGAAGTGATATTATAGACTGGCATATTTTTTTTTAATGATTTTTTAAATGTGAATTTTAAAATGCCTCCTCTTCATTCAACATTGATGAAGTCCCTTCTACATGCCAAACACTGTATATGTGAAACCGCCCAAAATTTCAATGAGGGTAGGCAGATACACAAACAAAGGCTTACGAAGTTCAGTTTTCTGAGATCACACTACTGGACAGTGTAGGAATCTGAGATACAAACTCACCTCTATCTGACCTCAAATTTGACACTGGGTGGTTTTAATTTTATTCTGAAAATTTGAGTCATTGAACCATACAAAGTTGAGGAGTCTCTTTCAGATGTGGGTGTAGTGGTCTGTATAATAAGGAAGGACTGAAGAAAGCAACAGACCAATTAAGAGACTATCTAAAGGAAGACTGATGCAAAAGGCAGTGGCAGTGACAAAAGTGGAGGAAAAAATTTTGTGATTATTAAGGAGACAGAATAGGAAGTACTTAATCATGAGATGTGAAAGCAGCAAAGTAGAGGGAAAAACGGGGCTGCTTCGGCTCTGTTGGGGAAGACCGGGTACAGAGTTGTACCTTTCTCCTGGCAGAGAATGTAGGAAGAGAAATAGATAAAAAAGAAAAGGCAGTTTTTTTTACGCTCAGTATCACATTAAAATGGATCTCTCTGGTCAAAGTTGAATATAAATTTCTGTAGGCTAAGTCCATTTGTGACATCCCAACATATATTATTAAAAATAACACACATACTAAATCAAACCATTTAGAGTAATGGAAAAATTCCTAAAATTTACATGCTAAGTATATCACCATTTTTTCTTACTTTCATGGAGCAACTCTGAATCTATGGTTATAGCAAATGAGGGATCTTAACAAAGAATAAAGGTAATATTTTAAATTTAAAATTCTATTGTCCTCAGTGAATAGAGAAACAACTGAAGCCATGGCATGGAAGTGATTGCCCTGAGAGGTTGTGTATACTAAGAAGAACTAGAAAGAAAGAAGACCTGGAGAATAGGGGGATATACACATTAAGCAAAGCTCGCAAAAGTGAGCACTTGGAGTCAAGAGACTGGCCTTTGAATCGGGAATGGCTGCATTTGTGAGACACTGAAAATGAGATGATATCTGATTTCATTTCTGTAACAGCAGCACCTAGCTTTTACGCTTTTATAGTAAAACACTGAAACATATATTCATGATATTAAGGTGTGAAAAAGCTTCAGAGTTTAAAAAATTGGTAACAATAAAGGGAAAACCTATATAATTGGACAATATCAAAATTAGTAAGTTCTATCACCAATAGACACTATTAGGAGATTTCAAAAGTAACCCTCAGTAGATAATATAATCTACATATATAATATCTAAATACATACATGCATAAAAACATCTACATATTGAAACAAAATAAAAGATTTATATATAAAAACATCAAGAATTTTTGTAAATCATTAAGAAAAAATACAAATAACCCAACAGAAGACACACGGCCCAATAAACATATGTGAAGGCTCTGTGAAAAGTTATTGAAAAATACAAGAAAAAATCTCAATGTAATACTACTATACCCATGGCCAGAAAATAAAAAATGCAAAAAGGCAGAAAGCACCAAGCATAGAGAAGAAGGTGAAATTTCTGGAACGTTCATTTACTGCCAATGAAGAGTGTAAACAGGCACAATCACTTTGAAAAACTGAAAGCATCTTTATACATCAGCATAGCCTATAACCCAGGAATCTCTCTCCTACACATTTTTCCAACAAAAATGAATGTTCACCAATAAAAGCATACATCAAAATCTTCACAATAGTGCATACTCTAATAGCCAGAAACTGGAACCAACCTAAATGCCCATGAACAGTAAGATAAGTTGTAGTATTTTCACACAAAGGAATATGATACAACAAGAATAAAGAAACAATAACTCACAAATACATAATATTAATGAAAAGAAGCCAGACAAAAACTAGTACATGTTTATGGTTTCATTTATATAAAGTTCTTGCAGAGTAAGAGAATGACTGAAAGGAACAGGAAGGAACTATTTCTTTTAAAAAGGAAGACTTAATATAAAAACAATGTCAGCAGAAATAAATAGTGGATGGAACTAAGCTGTGTCAGAAGTGACACAGTTGATGTACATTCTATCTAGTGAAAGCTCCTTATTTTGACCTGGACTGGAAGAAGCAGTGTTGTAGAGACCAAGAAAAGTGAGAATATGCTAAAGGTCTTTGGGCTAAGTTAGAGACATTATTTTGAACTATGTTGGGGGGAGGGGCGGAAAAAGAAAAATTTAAATAAAAATAATAAGAAGGAAGAATAAAGTTCAAGTATACCAAGAAATGCAAAATTTAAAACTTAAACTCACTAGTTAAAAGAAAAAGACAAATTGAAAATGTTAACAAAATAAGCTATTTGCTATATAGTAAAAAGGTTGATAGTAAAAGAAGGAAAAAATATAAATAAAACTGGTAAGGTTTATTAATATTTAAGAAAAAAGAAGTCTGAAAACAAAAAGCACAATTAGAGAAGATCACTAAATAATGATGAAAAGTCCGATTCACCAAAAAAAAAAAAAAAAAAAAAAAAAAAAAAAAAAAAAAACACCACAAAAATTCTGAACAGGTACAAACCTAACAAAATAAGCCTAAAATTTATACAAAACAAAAAATTCACAGAACTTCAAAGCAAAAATGGCAACTCCAATATCACTGTAGAATTCAACACACTGTTCTCAGCTTTTGCCATCAATTCTCTAACCGTTCTCAGACTTTGTCTTCTCTTTAGATCAGAAACACTGTCTTGTTCCAAAGCACAGAATGAATGTTTTTGTTGTTTCCCATACCATATACATAAACCTACTGAACAAAAAGGAAACTCATGGATCTTAAGGACTAAAGGTCAATCCAGATGCATTCTGAACTTTTAGAGATAGCTATTTTGTGATTAAACAATAAACTCAAGATTGTTAGCCCCTAAAAACTGTCAGGTACTAAGTGGTACACTGCTGCCATCTGCTGGACACTGTTCATTTGCAGGTCAATTATGTTTGCCTTAAAAGTCCTAGTAAGACAAAGGTCTTAAACTGTCACCTTTTCTGAGCCTCCTTTATCTAATGAGATGAAGATACTCTCTCTAGATTAAATGGTTGTATACAAGGTGTTGATAGAGGTTAAAAAAAGGTTTGTGCTATTTAAGCCTCTGGTAACAATGACTTTTTTTAAATAAAAGGATTATAGGAGCATAAAAAATTATACTGCCTGAAATCCACTTCGAATTTGATATATCCATAAAAACTACCAATTTGCCATACAAGTATTGGAAAATCATATTTCATATACTGAATAATGGCAATGAGTCACTTTAAACATCAATTATACTTTACCTATATGGCATATTATTCACATT